CACACTCCACTCCAGACTCAGGAGCCCCACAACCGCCTCATATACAAGAAAAACAAGGAAATGTGAAGAGGAAAAGCCACTTTTAGACCTTTGGTTTTCACAGGACAAAGCCAAGACCCCTCTGACAGGTGCACACAAAAAACCACTCTTTTGACGTCATAAATACCTACACAAGCCAGGGAACACCAGCAAATTAAAAGGAACCGATTAACGTAAACCTGGGGTTTAAGGATGCCCACAATAAAGGGAGGGGGAAAAAAAGCAGGAGATCTTTCTTTTTCTGGGCAGGTCACACCCTGATGTCTCGACGCTCCTGCACACAAGGACAGGTAACACCTGTAAACACACACAAGCTCCCCAGAGGAGCCTACACATCTCTCCACTGCGTGTGGGCACTGGAATGGTTTCGGAGAAAGAATTCCCCACGGGATGAACCCACACCCTCAGCCAAAAAACCTCCGAAAACCTCCATTTTAAAGTTCTGCATCCGCCAAGAAACTACGTGCGGGGCTCCAGGCTCGTCCTGCACGGTCAGAAGCCAAACCCTCGGCCTGCCGATGCCCCCCAGCCCCGGGGGGAGCCCGGAGAGACCCGGGCCGGGAAGGGACCTACCTTGGTGGGCATCGCGGCCGGGCCCATCCTCACACCTGCGCTCCAGGTGCTCAGCACGGGGATGGGGGGATCCTTCCAGCGATGGAGGATGGGGGGAGGGCAAGTTTCTTATTTATTTACTCCGGGAGGTGGGAAAAGCCGGGCCCTGCGGGAGAGAAAAGGGCTGTCAGGGGAGGGGGCCCTGCAGCCCCTCTGCCCCGTTACCTCCATCCCGCCCCGGGCCGGCCGGCGGGGCCAGGCCCGCCAGCGCTCTCAGGCCGGCCCGGGGGCGCAGGGCACCGGGGGGGAGCCCCCCAAACCCCGCTGCTCCTGCTGGAAGCCCCCCGGGCCCGGCCTCGCTTCCCGGGGCTAAAATGGAGGCGCGGGGCGGGTGAAGGGGGGTCCCCGCTCCGCACGGAGCCGGCCGGGCCCGGCCCCCGGGGCGAGGCGGAGCAACCCGCTGCGCCCCCCGCGACCCCCGCCCTGCAACTCCCTTGCGTGGGGAAGGGGACCCGCCCCACACACACCTCCTTCCTCCCTCCCTGCCCGCCTTTCCCCAGCCCCTCCGCGGCCCGGCTGCCCCCCACCCTTTCCCCGCAGCCAAGTTGCGGGCCGGCGGGCCGGCTGTGCCCGGCCGTGGGTAGGGGTGTGAGGGAGGGGGCGGCGACCCCGGGCCGTGGCCGGCGCCCCCGCCCGCGCCGCGCCCGCCCGTACCTGCGCCGCTCCGCCGCCTGCGAGCGGGCACCTTCCGCCCCCCCCGCGCGCCCATTGGCTGCGCGCGGGGCATGGGCGCGCCCCATTGGCCGCCGCGCCGTCAATCACGGCCCGGGGGGCGGGGCGCGCGGTGATTGATGCGGTGCCGCCGCTCGGCCCCTGCCCCGCGACCCCCGGGACCCCCGGCCATTGACACCCCCGAACCGGGGACCCCCTCGGTCAGAGCGCACCCGCACAGGGCGCGCCGGAGGGGCCCAGGCGCTGCGCAGCCCCCGGGGTAGCCGAGGGTCCGGCCGGGCCGCGGGAGCGGCGGGGCGGGGGGGCGGAGGGGTGCGGGTCTGGGGGTGATGCGGAGGGCGCGGGGTGGGGTGCCCCGCAGGTGGCAGTGGACCGGGGCTGGGGGGACGTGCGGGGTGTCCCGCGGGCCGCAGGCCACTCGTGCCCCGTGCGGGGCGAGGGTCCCGCGGCGCTGGAGGGACCTGCGGGGGGACCGGGGGGTGACACCGGAGCGCCCGGCACGGGGCGCGGGGGGCGTGGGCTCCTGTCCCGCGGGTGGCACCGGGCCCGTGTCCCGCGGGTGGCACCAGGCCCGTGTCCCGCAAGTGACGCAGGGCCCGTGTCCCCCGTGCCCGCTGGGCCCGTGTCCCGCTGTCCCACGCATCACACCGGGCTGGTGTCCCGCGGGTGTGTGACATCCGTGGGTGATGACACGGATGTGTCCCCACCGCTGCCCCGCGGGGGACACCAGCAGACCCCTGCCCCATGTGCCCCCCACCCGTGGCTGTGCTGGGCTGTCCCCAGACTGTGCCGTGGGCCCCGTGGAATCTGACCCACCCCACCCACCAGCAGCCCCCTTGTGAGCCACACACTGGGAATTCCGGGTCATCTCAGCGTCACCTTCTTCTCTCAGGCGTGGGAAACCCTGCCAGTGGCTTCCCCTTCTGCCCACGGCCGTGGGGACACAGTGGTGCAGCTCTTCATCCGCTTCCACTGCTGATGTTTTAAATTGCATTTTAGTTTTTATCCCGGTCACAGGCCGGGTTTAATCAAAATTAAGGGCCCAACTGCACGTCCTGCAGGCTGAAAACCAGCTGAGCTCCTTCACCTCTCACTGATGGTCCTTCCATGAAAAGAGAGTGGCTGTTTCCCTTTGGGACAGCAGAGCTGGGGAGAGGATCAGAGGATCATGGAATGGGTTGGCTTGGAAGGGAGCTTAAAGCCCATCTAATTCCACCCTGTGTCACAGGCAGGGCCACCTTCCACTATTCCAGGTTGCTCCAAGCCTTGTCCAACCCGGCCTTGGACACTTCCAGGGATGGGACAGCCAGAGCTTCTCTTGGTGACCTTCTCTGTGCCAGGGCCTCCCCAAACTCAGAGTAAAGAATTTCCTGGTTACATTTCATCTAAATCTACCTCAGTTTAAAACAGTTCCACCTCGTCCTGTCACCATCTGCCTGTGTGAAAATCACTCTCCCTCGTTTTTATAAGGCCCATTTAAGGACCATTTAAGAAGGATGTTTGAGATGCTCTGAATAAGTTTCCACAGATGACACCCTGATCCTCAAAGCCCTGCTCCCCCAGGAACCCCTGGGATGGTTTCTACCATCATAAAATATCCCCAGCACTGAGCTGGGGAAGAGTTCTGCTGGATGGACCAAAGGAGAAAATTCCCATTTTTGTCTGCTTGGGAAGCCAAGCTGGGTCAGGTTTTAGCTCTGATTTCTTGCCCCTGAACCTCCCCAAAATCCAGGTCTGCCCATCCACAGGACAGTGGTGATGGGGAGGGAGACAACAACACACCTGGAGACTTCCCAAGGGACTGGCTGGACATGGGGAACTCCACCCAGAATGGGGAGGCAGGAGAATTCCTTCACTGGCAGAGAGGATTTACCACACTTGTTCTTAGATAGAGTCTTTTCAGGGGGTATTTTCACTTTTAGGGCCAAAAGGAATTTTTCCCACCATCCTTGCCCTCCATCTCCAGGGGAGGTGGCTGCAACCAGCTTGTTTTTTCCTGCTTATCCAGGAAAATCCAGAATATGAGGATATTCTGCAGGTGACAAAGTGTTTAAAAGCAGGTGAGTGGACGAGCTGCTCACACAGAGCGATGGGACTGAGGAGAAACACCAGAAAAGAGACTTTTCTAAATCTGTTGAGACACAGGAGAATCCAAAAGAGGCAGAAAGCAGCAGCTAATCCTCTTGTCTCCCTGAGCTTTCCCAACGTCCTGGCAACAAAGGATTTCTGCTGTTCCACACAGGGGTGGATGTGAACTGCTGGATTTGGGAACAGGAGCTTTCTAACTGAGTGAAGAATGTCAGAAAGGGACGTGTGGCTCCTTTCTGGATGTGATTTTCTGAGGGAGTTTTGATGGAATTGACCTTTGAAAGTGGTTTTGTTTATGTATTTTTCTGATCTGGGAGGTGTTTCTGACTCTTCCCTTGTTGGTGCCATCAGGATTTTTGAAATCCTTCCATCCTTCGCTGTCGGGGTCCAGTGCTGTGACCCCAAGGAAGGGACTGGGTCCCCTCCTGTCCCTGCTCACCCCGGAGCATCTCCCAAGGTTTCTACAGCAGCTGGACCCAAACTGGCAGACAAATCCAGTGCTCCACAAACACTGCTCAGCAAAAGAAGCAGAGAAAGTTTTATTTTCTGTGTTAACAGGGTTTTAAACCCTGATCCTCGGAGGGTTCCCCGCCTCAGAAAACCCCCCATTCTGGCTGGGATTCAGCCCCCGGAACGATGCATTGCAGCTCGTAAATCAACTCCGCCTTTCTCAGGAGGCACCTAAAGCTCAGCTTAACAAAGCTCCGGTTCAGCGCTAGGGACGAGTCCAGCTCCGAGCGGCTCCATCAGCCCAATTCCAGCCCACGCGGGGAGGCTCAAACCGGGACACAGGAAGAACAAACTCGGCTCCCGCTGCCGGGCGGGAAGTTGGCCCCGGAGAATTTAAACCAGGAGCCACAATAATAAACGTCCGGGATTAAAAGGAACATGGGGAAAAAAAAAAAAAAACATAAAAGAAAAATTAGCGGGAGGCAGCTGGGAAAGGGTTTGTAGTTCGGAGTCGCTTTTCCAGCCAAACTCGGCGCTCAAAAATCGCGGGATGGGGTTGATATAGCGGGGGAAAAGGAGCGGTAAGAGGTTTAATCCGAGGGGATTGTTTGCAGCAGGAGGAATTCCTACACGAGCCTTCCTCTGGAAGTACAAGACGGGAATGATTCCTCTGCTGACTGACAGAGGTTGCAGCTGCGGGGTTGGGAGCTGCTGCAGAAGGCAGGAAAAAGCGAAAATAAAAATAACCCTCTCCTTGCTCAGGTTATTGAGGATGGAAGGATGGAAGGGGAGGGGGAGCAGCAACAATTCCAGGGATCCAGGGGCAGCCACAGCTTCTCTGGGCACCCTGTGCCAGGGCCTGCCCACCCTCCCAGGGAAGGATTCCTTCCCAATATCCCATCCAACCCTGCCCTCTGGCAGTGGGAAGCCATTCCCTGTGTCCTGTCCCTCCATCCCTTGTCCCAAATCCCTCTCCAGCTCTCCTGGAGCCCCTTTAGGCCCTGGTGCCACGTGGACCCCCAGGTACCCCAGGACAGGAACAGCCCCCCCCTGCCCCAAGCTGTGTCCTCAAACCCTTCCCAAATCTCCTGAAGGGACAAATCCCACCCCCAGATCCCAAAGCACCTCTGGACTGAGCCTGCTTTTAAAAGTAGTTTATTTGGATTTTTCCACATCCTTGAATGAATCGCAAATATATTAACAGAAAAGACTTTGTTTGTTTTCCTTTTTTCCCCCCCGCCCCAAGACTGTACAACTTTTTTGAAATAAAAAGTCAAGAAAAGCCAAAAAAAGAAGAAAAAACAAAAGAAAAAAAAGAGACAAATTACATTGTTTCAATGCAAATAGTAACACCACACCCACACTTTGCATTTTTCCATAGTTTTGTTGTAAGAAAATGACAAGTTCCCTAATTCTTTTCCATGGACAGTTGCTCTCACCTGGCTGCCAGTGCCTCTTCGTCCCTGTCCCTCCTCCAAGAGCCAAATTTTAGTCACTCCATTCTCATGCTGTGTTTCTCCTTAGAAGGGCTAAATGTGACTTGGGATTCTTAGGGAGAAAAAAAAAAGGAAATTATCCCTTCCAGGTATGGATGTACATGTAAAGCCAGGGATGGTTTTATGTAGTAAATCTTCCAGGTAACATGAATATCCTGTCAGATCCCAGCTGAATTAGGAGATTTTCCAGAGGGTTGAAAGTTTCATTTTTTTAGGGAACAGGAGCAAAGTGGAAAAAGCCCTTTGGATTCCTGGATCTCTGGTGCCCAACTTAACACCACCACTTGTCACAAGGGAACAGCACCTGCTTCCTCCTGCTTTGGGAACCAAAAGGAAGCCAATTAACACATTAATTAATGGCATTCCATAAGTGCTGCCTGCAGACTTTGTTAGGAGGTGCTGCCTGGACTCGTCCATGCCCGGGATGTGCCGGGAAGCTGCGGCCGGGTGGGAAAAGCACACGGAGACCCAGGGAAGTTGGGAGCTGTGCCACGGGCACACAGCAGCTCCCTGGAAAACTGGGCCTCTGGAGGAAAGGGGGGAATCCCCCACCAGCAGCTGCAGCCACAGGAACAGGGGGGAGTTCTGGAATACTCAATCCAGCCACAACGGGCCGTGATTTTCCCATCAATCCATCCACGTTCCAGCCCCAGCTGAGCTCGAGGATGGGGCAGAGGCACAAAGCACCTTTAATATCTTCTTGTTGCTCAGGTTTTGGAGGTTCCTTGTCATGCTGGGAGCGCAGTTGGAGCCTGTTTTCCATTGCTCGTCCTCCTACCTCAACAAACCACCAAGGAACCAGAGAATTCCTAATTTTTGCTCGCAACTTGGGGGCTGATTTTTCCAAGGATAAAGGTGCCCACGTGGCTTCTGGCCCAGCTCCTCTCTGCTCAGAAATTGTACCTCATGTACAAGGAGAACTTAAAAGAAACTGAAGTGTAAAGGTAACTAAGAGACCCCTAAAAATTAATAGATTTAAAAAAAAATAATTAAGACCGATCACAACGAATACATTGCTATGAAATTTGTATCATTCCCAATTTATTAGGCATAAATTGCTCTTTAAAACTGCTGATATCATACACTTTCTTTATCATCACTGCACAAAGGGCACCAATTGCTGCTGCAGAAGGGCTACAGAGAGCAGTTTGGACTTGCTAACAGTGGTGCAGCTTCCTCCTCACAGGAACGGCCCCCTGGAGGAAAGGAAAGTGTTCCTGGAGTGAGAAACTGAAAGAACAACTTAAAAAAAAAAAAAAAAAAAGAAAAAAAATAAGGAAAAAAAGACAGATAATTGCACATTGTTGCATCCTGCTTGGACCATGCTCTACAAAACAGTTTTCCAAGTGATCACAGCTCTAATGAGACACCAACCCGAGGCAGGGATCTGATGTGTTTGACCAAGGTTCTGATTGCATTAAGGCTTCCACAGTCTTCCCCCTCTCTCAGGATGAAGGGTTCCACGCTGTCACATTACACTTGTACCTCGTTTGTCTCTTGATTTTGCCCTTTATTAAATTTTTGTTACTCTAAAGAGGGGAAGAACAAGTCGAGGGGTGCAGGAGAAACGAAGCGAGGTGGTGCTGACTCGAGGGCAGAGTAAAACACTGACCCTTCCCGAGCCCGGGGCCAATAAATTAATTCATGGTTAGGACATGAAAGCAGCTGAGGAAAGCTCTGATCCTGCACTGGGAGGTTCTCTCCTGCAGCCTGCACTCTGGGGTGTTGTTCTGTGGTGGGATTCGCTCCCAGTCCTGGGTTGGCTCGCTGGAGACGCCGCAGCTTTGAGGTCACCGTCACTCCCTGGCATTTCAGTTACACTACAATAGGCAAGAGTCCTGTTTTGTCACCACTGTCCTTGGAGAACTCGGAAATGAGGTTCAGCACTCTGCTTACCAAGAAAGACCCAAACTAAGACACATTTCTCTGGGAAAAAAGAACAAGACACCTCGTCATTAGTACTATCCCCACATCTACCGCCTTCCATACAGCAAACCACAAGTCTGTCTTCCATGATATTGGGTTTTTTTTGTTTGTTTGTTTTTTTTCCAGCAAAGGGGAGTCCAAAAACCAGCATTTCTTCTTCCTCAGTCAGTCACTTTCATAAATGTGTGAGAGCCAACCTAGTCAGACTCAGCAGCAGCAGCTGGATATTGCACTGCCATGAACTCTGGCACAGCTCAGCTCCGAGGTGCCACTCGTGGGGTGTCAGTGGAGATCGACGACAGCGCTGGCTCAGAGAGGTGAACACCCAGAGTGGGAAGGAAGGGGAGGACACGACAGTACCAGTCACACACACTCAAGGCTCAGACAGTGGCTCTTGGAGGTTAAAATTCGTCGCTTTCCACCGCGTGGAGCTGCGTGTCATCGGCGTCCGTCATGCTGCTCTCCTGGGACTCGTCCGTGCCAACTGCAGAGGGGGAGGAGAAAGGACACAAAAAGGGTCAAACTCCACTGCCAGGATCTCCCCACAACCCTCTCCAGCACCTCAACAGCAACAGGTTTGGGCTTCCCCTCACAGCGTTTTAAAGCTTTGGGGCTTCTCTCATTTTCCTGCAAAACCTTGGAGGAATCCAGGGGAATCACAGACACCTGGAATGGTTTGGCTTGGAGGGACCTCAAAGTTCATCTCAGTCCACCCCTGCCATGGGCAGGGACACCTTCAACCAGCCCAGGGTGCTCCAAGCCCCGTCCAACCTGGCCTTGGACACTCCCAGGGATCCAGGGGCAGCCACAGCTTCTCTGGGCAACCTGTGCCAGGGCCTGCTCACCCTCCCAGGGATGAGTTTCTTCCCAATATCTCCCCCAAATCTCCCTTCTTTCAGTCTGAACCCACTGTTCCCTGATCCCACATCAACTCCAAAAGGAATTCACACCAATAAACCACAAAGTACCCCTTACCAAAACCCACTGCCTTGGCTGAGGCTGGGGAACTCCTGGACAATCTGTCAGCACAGTCAGGGAGGCTGAATTGTGGCACACAGCCCAACACTTTTATTTTGTTTACATTTGTTGGACAAATTAAGCTGTTGGGTTTTTTTTTTGGTTGGTTGGTTGGTTTCTGGGGTTGTTTTTTTGTGGTACTGCCCTGCAGTTCCAGTCTCTGTCTCCATCTCCTGGTCAGAAGATGCTCAGGCTTTAAATTAAACCCAATTCCAACAGCAGGAAAAAAACAGATGGATCCTTCAGGGCAAGTTCCCCATATTAAAAAGCACACAGGTTCAATCAAAATAATCAATGTGGCCAATTCCAGAACCCCAACCCTGCCACATTTTCCTCCTTTCAGGAAAAGAATTAAAACTGCTCATCAGCATTTGATTTTCCATCTCTGTTTCAGTCTGCAAAGAGGTCAACATTTATGACTGCCAAAAGGAATTTAAGCTCAGAATCAAAAAAGCTGAGAGAAGAGAAACCTGGGCTTATCCCTTTTTGTGGATTATTTCCCCTAAAGTGTTTTATTTTCTCTTCTTTCAAACCCAAACTGCTTCCCCTTTATTACATAACCCTTTATTTAATATATGCTTGGAGTAGGAAAAACAGAGGGATCTTGCTGGCTTGCTGAGCAGAACATTTCACTTATTAAATATGGGAAAAAACCCTCTTTTAAATTAAAAAAAAGAGGGGTTGGAAATACAAACCTGATTCATAGGGGTAACATTCACTGATCTGCTCCTCTCGAGTGATGGGCTCCTCATCATCAGGAAGGTAACGCTTGTCGATGGCCTCTTTGATCTGGTTGTTGGCTCCTTTGGGATCCAAGTCCATGGCCCAGGAGAAATTCATGAGGGCCAAGTGGGTCTGCCCCAGTTTTTTATAAACCTGAAAAAAGAAATTAAAAATAAAATTTAAAAGAAAAGAAAAAAAAAAAGGTAGAAAAAACTCCCATTTACACGAAGCTGCTGCAGGGAACTGGGAGTTTCTGAAAAGAAACAGAGGGGAGGGATGGAAAAGTTATTTTATGAGTCCCAAAGGAAATAAATATATGTGTAGAAAGAGCAAGGGTTTCTGTTTAAAAATCCAAAAATTAAATTAAACTAGCAGCTGATTCCTTATCATTAAGAGCAGATGAGCAAATAATTTATCTGTGCTAAACATTTAAAAAGTGTTTTAATTTAATTATTTAAATTCATCAGGACATGGCAGGTCTGATGTCACTTTAGGGGTCCTGGGAAAACACCAGTCAAGACATTTCAGCCCAAACCCTTTTACCTCTGTCTAATTTTATAAAGAAAATAAAGAAATCTTGCTGCCAGAGCTCTCCAGGACTGTGCCAGAGGTTTCTCTGGTTGTTTCCCAGCAGTTATTTAAAGTTCTTTAAAGCTCAGGAGCAGAGGAGGGGGTGGGAAAGGAGGATTTCTGTTACCAGGTCACTCCTCTGGCATTTCACACCAAAAAAAAAGGCAATTATTTCTTATTCAGGGTTTCTGACCCAGTGCCTTAGAATGGGATTCAGTATTTTAACAGGCACAACTGCAAATAATCAACCCTGCTACCCCTCCACATCTTCAGCATTTCCACTGCAAACATCACTGCCATCCTAAGAATCAAATCCTGACAGAATTCCATTTCCAGGGAATGATGCAGTGGTTGTGACACAGTCAAGTGGCCCTTTTGAATGAAGTATCTTTATATATATATATATTTTATATCCTTCCAGTGCCTGAAGGGGCCACAAGAAACATGGAGAGAGACTTTTTACAGGCCCTGGAGGGACAGGACAAGGAGAAACGGCTTCAAACTCACAGAGGGCAGGGTTAGGTGGCATTTTGGGAAGAAATCCTTTTAAAAAAAAGAAAGCCTTTTAAAATGAATTATCAGTGGGGAAATCAAAGCAGGGTGATTGTTTATTTTTTTTTTTTAACTTGGTTTTGTTTTATTCCAGGAACAGCTCTCTTTAAGTGTCCTCTGCATTGAGAAGCTGATCCAGAATAAAGCTGGGAGCACTAAGCCTTATTTAAAGCTTTGGGAATTTTTAGAAGGCTGCTCCAGGTGGAAGCAGCTTAGTGACAGGCAGCCCATTTGCTCATTAAGCAGCAAAGGAAAAACAGCAGAGGATTTGTGGTCACAGTGAGGTGTTTGTTGTTTTTTTTTAACCTACCTTTCCTATTAAAAAGTAAACAAGAGACTCTTTGGGAACAATCTGCTTCAATTCTTCAAGTTCTTGTAAAGCTGACTGAAAGGAAGATGAAAAAAGAAAAATAGTGAGCACAAGCCAGAGATCTGAAATCAGTTGTGACATCAAATTGTGACTTATTTAACTCCTAAAACAATGTTGATGTGGTTTGTGGTGCATGTACTAATCTCAAGCCTGTGCTTTTGAAAAATTCTGGGTTTAGATGTGCATTTTGGGGACTTCTGCAAAAGCCTGTGTTTATATTGCATCTGAAACCCAAAATATTTAGTCAGATTTTCACTTTACTTTTAAAGTAGCTGTTGATGCAGGAGCTATTTATTCTGCTGTGACAGTGCCCTGGCATCACAAAGGAATTCAACCTAAAAATAAGTCTGCAGTTAGAAATAAAACATTGGTTTTAGTTATAAAAGTTCCATTCAATCCTCTAAAACCTCCTCCTGTGAACACAATTTCAAGTTTGGGCTTGCCACAGAAATCAAAGTGTAAATCTGCATTTATTTACCCAACAGCAGCAACATTTACCACTCTAAGTTCCCTCAGTACTGGTGCTAAAAGCCAGAATATTTCATTAAATTTTATGCAGCTTCTGTGAGCAGCATAAACTTCAGCTTTGTAATCTGAGCCTGAGAAAGGGAGAGCCCAAATCTTTTATTTCACTGCTTCACCAGGGCCAAATAGTTAATAATTTAGTCATTTAGTATAAACTCAGGATAACAGTTCAGAGAAAAATAACAACAATGTAAATATCTAAAGAAATTAAATGTAGATAATGCATAAACACATAAATTTTAAAAAATAACAATGTAGAAACCAATCTCACCTTGTACTTCTCGTTGGCAAACAACACTGAAGCTCTGTGGAATTTGCATAGTGGGTTCTTGGGGTCGATGTTGATGGCTTTGTTCAACGTGTCCAAAGCCTTCTCAGATTTTTTCAGTGCATGCTGGACCTGCCACGGAGAGGGGGAGCAATTTTGAGATGGAAAAATAACAGCTCAGCAAACCCTTTTGATTATTTTTGTTTATAATCTGCTCCTTTAGGAAAAATACTGGCCCGATTCTAGACCAAGTTTGAACAGGTTTTCCTCACTTTGTCTCCACCCCAAAACCTTCTCCCCACCCAAAGGCCTTGCAGAAATCATTTTAACCTCTGGCCAGGAGTGAAGTCAGCAATTTTGCTCTGTGTTTAAGGGAGAAGCAGCCACAGCCCCTGTGGGATGGGACACAATTTTAGGGGTAAATGAGAGCCAGGTCACCACCCCCCACTCCCACACAGAGCCAACATCCAGGAATTATTTCCCAACTCTGTCAGCAAGATTGGCCAGTGAGGCTGCTGGTTTTCCAGGACTGACTTTTCAAACAGCCCTGTAAATTGAACTGAGGGAGTGGTGGTGAAGTCTCCTGAATGAAATTTAATTAATTAATTAAATTCCACAGGGCACAAAGCGGCCCAAGAAGTGGATTTATGACCTCTACACCTGCCTAGGACAAAAGAGGCAAAGAAGAAACAGCCAGGACAGAAATCACTGCCCTCCAGAAGGAGCTAAAGTGATTTTTTCTACTGCCAAGTGCAGGGTGAAAAAGCCAACAAGGCTAAAAGCACAATCCACTTACCACTCCGATGTGGCACAGCAGGACCGAGCTCTGAGGGTTGATGTCAAGTGCTTTCTGGAAATGCATTTCTGCCAAACTGAATTTCTCCTGCTTGTAATAAATCATGCCCAGCCCGTACCTGCGGGCACAGAAACAGCTCTGTTAAGTGACACTTGGTGTTTTAATCAGATTAGTTCCAGGCAGTGAGTGGTTTGTAGGCTTGCCAGAAAGCTGTGTCTAAAATTTACTTGGTTTTCTTTCTTTCTCAGTGGGGTAGTTGAAGAACTACAGGAAGACTGGCTGAGCAGCCACAAAATAAAAGGAATATAAAAAAGTTCAAGACTAAGTGACTTACAAATCTTAACTTTTACTGCTTTACATATTAAAAAGCTGCAATAAATTAACTGCATCCCAAGGGATGAAGGGGTTGAGTTCCTCACTGAACTGAGGAAAAATAACTGGATGCACGAGGAATGCTGCACAAAGGAACAGGAGAGCTGGGCCAATACAGCCTGAAAGACCTGTGGAAAATCAAAAATCTCCAGGTTTTTTGCCTTCCTCGTGGAAGTAACTGTTTATTAAAGACATGAACCCCACATCTTCTGCAGGAAGAGCTTTGCTCTCTTCCCAGAGAGAGCAGTGGTAAATTGGCTGTGGATCCCCCAACCCTGGAAGCACCAAGGGCAGGTTGGAACAACCTGTTCTAGTGGAAGGTGTCCCTTCCAACCCAAACCATCCCAGGATTCTATGAAATCCCAGCAGTGGCACATCCAGAAGATTTTCCTCCTGCAGGGGGACAAACCCACACCTACCAGGCGTTGTAGTGCCTGGGGTTGACTCTGATGGCGTTCCTGAAACAAGCCAGGGCTTTGTCCAGCTCTTCTGTCAGCACAAACTCGTGGCCCAGCAGGGTGTAGGCATAGGCATAGTTTGGATCCACCTGGATGGCCCTCTGGAAGAACTTGATTGCAATGTCGTGCTCCCTTTGGAGGCTGAAGCAGTTCCCTGCAGCACACCAGGCCTGGGAAAGACAGGGTAGGGTTGGGATCCTTTCTGCACCTCAGAGGGACTAAATCTGAGCTGAACACAGCTTTTTTTATTTTTCCTAATTCTAAATAAATTCCTCCTAGATTAAAAAAAACCCAAAATAAACAGTGATAAATCAACAGTTGAGTCTCGTTCCTGTGAGGGGAACAGGCCTAAAAACACACCTCATAAAATAAACAAACACACAGGCTGGAACACAGAGATGGAGAATCTGAGGACACTCAATAAGTTTGTGATAATTAGATCCTCTGGTGATTAATGACTTCAAGCTTTTGAAGCTGAGAAGGCCAAAAATAAACCATCTTTGATATTTAAGAATAATGAAGGGGCAGATGGTACTTTCCACTCCTAAGCTCCCTCCGAGTGACAAATCTGGAAATCTGCAGGGGAAAAACAAAAATCCCAATATCCCCCTACACTTCTCTCAGAGCACACATTTATAAACATATATTTTAAAAATATTATTTTTATTGTGGCACCCTTTGAAAAGATTCCTGGGTTCTTGCACCTCCTGACCCCACATTGCCACACACTTTGCAGTTTAATGGACTTTGGCATGAAAATGTGCAACATCACGTCTGCAAACAAACTCCAGAGCAAACATTTCAAGTGCCAGGGAATTAACTCCAGCAATTAAGAGGTGGTTCCAGGAAAAAAAAATATATTCCTTATCTCTGCAGCATGGTAGGAGTGACTGAGTAACCCTGGGTGAGCAGTGCCAATGTAAATTTAAAAGAACCACGAACAGATGAAAGGTTTCAACCTGTTCCATGCAAGCGGATATTTGAATTTTAGGAAGCCACTTTGGGCATCAGGAGTTCAAAGTGACAATCCTGCCACATTCAGGTGTATCCCAACAGCAAAAAAAAGACATGATTAGAGCTCAGAGCTCACTGATTTTGCCCCGTGCAGTTCCCCTTTCCAACCCGTGGTGTTTTCTACCTCCGGTGAGTTTTTATCCATGTCCGTCAAATCCTTGGAAAGAACCGAGAGGGCAACGTCTTTCTGCAGGTGCCAGAGGGTGGTGGAATAGATCTCCATGCCTTCCACTCTGTAGTTTTCAATCCTCCTGACTTCTGAAAATATTCTCTCGGCCTAAGAGCAGAAAGTGAAGATTGAATTCCTGTGTCCATCACGGCACTCGAGCGAGGCAGAAACGGCACCCAAAGAATCAGGGGGAGGAAAAGACTTTTATGGGCCAGTTGTGGTTATTAATTAATGAACATTAATAAACAGTGACAGGACTAGGGGGGATGGCTTCCCACTGCCAGAGGGCAGGGTTGGATGGGATATTGGAAGGAATCTTCCCTGGGAGGGTGGGCAGGCCCTGGTACAGCTTGCCCAGAGAAGCTGTGGCTGCCCCATCCCTGGAAGTGTCCAAGGCCAGGTTGGAACACCCAGGGCTCATGGAATTTGTCCCTGCCCATGGCAGGGGGTGGCACTGGAGAATCTTTATGTCCCTTCCCACCCAAACCAGTCTGGAATTGTGGGATTTGGGCTGTAGCCTCAGCTTTGTGAATGAACCATTAAGCAGCCCAACAGGCTCCATCTCTAAGCAGACTGTGCACAGTTTAAAACCCTCCCCTTCTGAAACCTCCTGGGTCTGTCTCCTGCACACATTCTGCCAGGAAGTGTTTTAAAATTCTTGAAAGAAAAAAATAAATCAGGTCCATCAGCTGCCAGGAACAGCAGTGCCAAGGAGAGTTAAAGTGTGGGGTTACCCTGAACTGCTCGCTCCTGTTTGCCACCACCTCAGCTGTGCCAGCGCTCCTGAGGCTGAAAGGGAAACTGGGGCACTGATGGGAGCTGAACTCACTCCAAACACAGAGGAGAGTTCTGATTTCAAGCTCAAAAATCATTTCAGTGATGATTTACAAGCAGTTCCATCAGCACAGCTGCAGGTGAAGGTGGGGACAGACAAGGAGGAGACCCCAAGAGTTGGGTGGAAGAGAAAATAACATGAAAAAAAAAAAAACTACCAGAGGAGAGTGGAAAGAGGAAAAGCAACCCTCAGGTCCTACCTGCATGTACTCTGCCAGCTCAAAGTAGGCTCTGCCAATCTGGCACAGCACCCAGCCCGTGTAGTAGTGGTGGGAGGGCAGATGGCTCAGGATGGTGATGGCCTCTTTGCAGTTGTAGGAGCACAAGGCCAAGTAACCTTTGCCCATGTCCCGCAGGAGGCTCATCAAACCTTCTGGGAGAAAAATGCAGTGAGGAAAGAGTGGTCCAACAACAACAACAACAACAAAAACCCCACAAAAACAGATTTGGGGGAGTTGGAAATGCTCAGCCCCAAAGAGCTCTCCCCTCGTGGTAGAAACGGCTCTGGAATTTGCCTGGGAAAAATCAATCTGTAGACACCCTGAACCTGGGCATGGTAATTCTGAATATCCACCTAATATCCAGGTGATAATCCCGAATATGAGGGTGGGCAGATGGTGAGGAGTTCTTAAGAAAACTCTGGAGCTCAGGGCAAGTGGAAATCCTGCTTTTCCAGCAGCTTTCCAAGCATTTCCCCGGGTGTGAGCACATTTTCCAGGGGGTAGCCATGGATACACCTCCCTGCTGCCTGGAAACGCTGCTGAGCCAAAAGAGAGGAATTCAGCACTTTGACTAAGATTTTATTTTTTTTTTTCCTCAAAATCTGAATGAAGATTTGGTTTTTAAACAAGTGGGAAATAAGAAAGGAGAACAGGCCACATCAAGCTCACTTTTGAGGGAAGATGGCTGGGTTAGGAGCAACTCCAAGGGTAATTCCTGAACCATTAATTCTTTATAATACTCTATATTATTACATTAATATTCCATAATATAATGTTTTATATAATTACACCAGTATTATATTACTATAATTAATATACTATATATAATTTATAGGACTTTATATATCAATACCTAGAAAATACTTCAATAATTAGCAAGAACTACCTAGAAAATGCTTTAATAATTAACAAGCACCAGAGCTTGTAAGATGTATCTGCTGACAATTAGCCACTCTTAACACTTCTTGATACATCAGTTAACGAGAAGATACTGAGTCAAATCAGTTTTTATAATCACACAAAAGGTGAGAGGTGCAGGCTGAATGAAACAGGAAACCAAAGGAACACTGAAGCAATGTTATTTTTTCATTCAGCATTAAAAAAACAGATATATTATATTTTTCTACAGTGCAGTAGTGTTCAAACAGACCTGCTGCTGCCTTCTGGAGGGTAAAAGCTTGGATTTGTGGTGCAACAGTGGAAATTTTCCCTTCTGAAATGATGGAAGAGTCCAGTTTGGTGATCTCCAAACTGTCATTTAGGTTTGGTTGAGTTATTCCTCCCTTATTTGTTTTACTTTTTGTTTTTCTGTTCGGGATCTTGGGTGGAAACTTCATTTTTAACTTTTTGCTATTTTCCTGCAAGCAAGAAGAGTAAGAGTCACACACAAAAGAACACTTTTAAATTCAGAAATGAGTGAATTGTGTAAAATTACATATAAAGAACCACGCCCTGCCCACTAAAGAACCTGTTCTTAAGCTGCTAAAATGGCTATAAATGTTGGGAATTAAGAGCTGGTATCCTTAAAATGGGTTAGAACCCCCAAATTTCTCACATGTTACCTTTGTTGTAGAACTATCACTGGTAAACAGGCGAGAGCTTCTTCGAGGCAGTGAGTTTGGAGGAGCAGCAATGGTTGGGCTCAATACCTGAGGTGTTGTACTGGAAACCACCAAAAAATAAAACAATTACAAGCTAAAAAAAAAAAAAAAAATCAAAGTTCTTTGCCCCTTTTTAAAATAATAACAGCTTTTATGTTTGTTTTCAACGGAAAGGCTCGAGTGCTACAGCAGAAAAATTCACATTTCAAGGGATAAACCCCCCGCAAGAGCAGAATTTCCTTCCAGCTATTTATTCATTTACTGATGAAAGTGATGTCAATGCAGTGGTTAATTTAAATCACTTCAACAAATAACTGGAGTTATTTCACCCCCACTTCCTCAGCCAAATTGGAATTCTGCAGGAACAACCTCCCCCAAGTTGGAGCTGATAAAGCACTGAATTCCTTCAAGAAAAAAAAAACCAAACAAAACAGAAGCAAAAGGCAATAAATACCAAGATGGTTTTTATTTCTTTCTTACCTTGTCTGGGGACCAGAGCTCTGTGTTTGTGCAACAAGGACTGGAGTGACTTCCCGGCTGTTCCCACTCTGGGAGAAGACAGATTTTGTTCCAGCCTGGCTTATCCTGCTGACAGTCTGCACAACACAGAGTTTCTGCAGGTTTGTTATGATGTCACTAAGGAATCTCCACCTCTGGCTACACCAAATTCCTGCCCACCACAAACTGCCCCAAGGAGGAGAAGCAGAATAATTTAAATAAAGGGGAAGAGTTCACCTCATGCCAGGGAGAAATCATCCAGAGGATTGCTCATCCTATTTGTTAATAACACCAAGTTTATCCAACTTTATGCACGTTATTTGCAGATAGAAAATCTCCACCTAGTGGCAAGAAACTGTGTGGTAAAATATTTGTGACAAAACAAACCAAGTCGTTCTGCCCACTCCAAGCACACCACCACTGAGCTCTGTGATGGCTGTTGGGAGGTTCCTCAAGACCCCCAAAAAATGGATGAGTGGCATCAACGAAGCACCAGCAACGCTGATTTCTGCATTCCTCAACCTCTGCTCTGCCCTCCCCTTCCCGCTTTCTGTTCTCAAGAGGGGCACTTTAGGCAGCCCCAAACACATTTGCCCACTCAGAGAGGAAGTCTCTGGATTCATCCTGATGTTTCATTCCTTTCTGTGTTTCCTAGGAAACTGCCTGGGTTCAGCCAGGCACAGCTCCACCGAGAGCAGAACTGAAATTGGCCCAGAATTTTAGTTAAATATCTCAAATATCAGGTGTTTTGGTAGCAGCACTGATGCATTTGGGCAGGGAGTAGAAGCATGGAGTAGTAAACTTGCACCTCGGGGTTGTTGTGTCACTCAAAGCAACAAAACAGCAGCAAATTCCCTCAAAACTTCCCCATTTCCATTGCCAGACTGGTGGAAATTCAGCTCCCTACACAGGCACCATCCACCCCAGGGCAGTGTTTCCAAATGGGCCTTGGAAAACTGCTGGTCCTGAGGAACTCCAGCCTGGGAATGGGATCCATGTGGATGTCTCCCAGCAGATTGTTTCAGCACAGCTCCCACATTTTCCCCTTTCAGGAGGACACAGCGAGTTGGGCACCGAGATTTGTCCAGGGTAAACGTGGAGATTCAAATTCTGCTTCTCCAGGGGATTTCAACAGTGAATTTAACACCAAAGAGTTGCCCCCTATAAAAACACCCCCCCATGCAACTGGTTTTTTTTTTAAACAGAGAAAAATCCTCAGGTTTTTTGTTTTTAGAAAGGAACAAATAGTTCTTCAACTGTCACCAACATTCCACCTCTCATTTATCACTATGGCAACTATGGCACTTTCTTCCTGAGTGAAAAAAAAAAAAAAGACAATTTTTAGTTTCCTTTACACAAGACTTTGCTGAGTGAAACTGCACCATTCTCAGTTCCTCCCCAAACCACCAGCAGGATTTTTATTACTCTGGTTTGTAAACCAGAACTCAAGAAGTGCTTGCAAGAAAGCAGAAGCTTCAGCTCCTTCTGAAAATACACTGATTAAACAAGACTTAAAGTCTTCACACTCCACCCTGTTTGAATCTTTTGTTGTTTGGAAGCATCAATATTTATCCAATTCTCTGTGACAGAAAACGCAGCAACTTCCTCAGGTTACTCCAGCAACACCAGCAGGGCAGCCTGGACATGTCTGTGCATTTTGGGTGTGGGGGAAAAAACTCAGCTCAGATAGGTTTTTAATCTGTATTATGGAGTATTTAGAGTGCAATGTCCAGCTCTCAGAACAGTAAATACATCCCAGAATGCAAAATACCTTCTTTGAAGGTGCTCCGGTGGATGGCACATCGATTACAGAGGAGGAGTTGGTGTAGTTCTGTAAATAGGTTCCATCTCCAGGGCTTGGGGTTTCTAGTGGCAAAATTCCAAAGCTGAGAACAAAAACACAGAGAGGAAGGGGCAGGGGAAAACCAGGAGAGCTGGGGTTAAATAGAGAATCAGAGCATAAAATACCCTGTGCTGGGAGGGACCCACAAGGATCATTGATCCAACCCCTGGCCCTGCACAGACACCCCAACAATCCCCCCAGTTGTCCAAACCCTCCTGGAGCTCTGGCAGCCTTGGGGCTGTGCCCACTGCCCTGGGGAGCCTGGGCAGTGCCAACCACCCTCTGGGGGAAGAACCTTTCCCTGAGATCCAACCTCACATGAACATGGCAATAAGCAACACCCTGAATCAACAATTCCTCTTCCAAGCCACCAACTGTGAGTTTAAAAACCAGAAGAGTCCAATGCCAGGACCAAGAGCAGATATTTAAGTTGTTTAGGTGAGTGAGGGTGCAGCAGCTTCCCTGTTCCCAACCCCAAATGAGGACCCACCTGGGAGTCAGGGGGCTCAGAGCTGCAGGTCCCCCCAGTAAACTGCGGCCGGTTTTTGGTTTGTTCTGAGCCTGTTTGGCCAATATGGCAGTTCCTGAGCCCAGGGGGACAGGATCCGATGAAATCACAGCGGAGTCGATGTAAGACACGGGAGAATCCGAGTTCAAGGAGGAGTATTTGGAATTGGAGGATTCTAAGTTGATTCTGTTCAGCTCCTGAAGGATGGAAGGCAGCCGTCAAACACTCACGAGCGTAGATTAATCAACAATTGTCTGTTAAGGCGGGAAAAGCGCTGGAAAGGATTTCAGCAACACTCACAATGGTGTCCTGGGGCGTCTCCATGAGGACACTCTCGGGCTGCCTGTGGGATATGTTGTGGTTGGACACCAACGTCGTGCAAGTGTTGGGCAGGCAGCTGCTGAAGTTCTGTAAGGATGTTAATTTAAATGTTTGGTCAGGGTCTGGCTTTTCACCTGTGAGAGCGGAAGGAGATTGAAAGAGTTATTTCTGAGTTTATCCTCTGAGTGTTCAGTCAGAGACAAGGGCAGGGAGAAAGTATTTTAATGCATTTCACAGAATCATAGAATGGTTTGGGTTGGATGGGGCTTTAAAGATCATCCAGTTCCAACTCCCTGCCATGGGCAGGGACACTTCCCTCTAGACCCCCTGACACCAAATCTGAAGTGTTCTTCCACTAAAAAAACCCTTGACAATCTATTTTTTTATATAAATAGACTCGGTTTTTCAAGTTATTCTCACACTTTCTAAGGGGCTACCAACTGTAGGTTGGAAAACACATGGTATTGTTAAACCCAAAAATGTATAAACAGCAAAAAAGTCCTAAATGCTGGCAAAGAATTTTAAATCACAAAAACCTCCTCAGAGAACTCTCCTTGTCTCCTTGTGGTGGCAGAAGGGACAGGCTGACACAACCAGACAGGTAAAAAAAAAAACCACTTTCAGTGAGTGAAACAGCTCTGCAGACTCACCTATTTCACAGAGTGATTCAAAAGGGGACCAGAGGAAAGGATTTAAACTAAGGCTCTTTTGGTAACATTCTGATCCTTTGGCAAGCCGGTCTGTCTTGCTGAAAAAAAAAAAAAACCAAAAAAAAAAGAATGGAACAGTTCACAGGGAAACTTCAGAACAGCACTTTTGTTCAGAGAGAGCTTTCCAGAAGAGTTGAAAACCAAACAAAAAAATAAAACCCCCAAACATGTTGAGAGGCACAGCAACATTCCTCATTTTTCAAGCCACAGAGAAATACTGAGTCCTTTTGAAGTTATTTGACATATTTAGACACAGTTATCAAAAAAAAGAAAAGTTATATAAGCAGTAAAATAGCTGGAGGATTTTCATTTTAGGAAGATGCTGCTTGTTTCTTTTTTGCAGCCAGCAACCTGATTGCCAGCCTTCCAGCCATTTTAAATATCTGGGGATAATATATTTTTTTTTTGCACTAAATTAGGGGTTAAACTGAACATTTGGAGCATTTGGCTACAAAGCAGTGATTCTGAAAATAATTGAGAACAGATATAGTGGAGAAGAACCCCAACCACTACTCCTATTGAATCATTTACATTTACTGAAACCTTCCTTGTATCTGGGCAAATGCAAAATGCTTTAAAGTTGTCAAATTATTTTGCCTGGCACCCTCAGCACTTTGATTTGAAGGTTACAGCAAAACAGATCCAGAAAAATCTAAATGGTAACACTGAAAAACAGGTTTTGAGAGTCTTCCTCAGGGAAGAACACAGAGTAAATCCAAAAAGGTAAAAAAAACCACCCCAAACCAGCAGATTCTTGGATTGCTCATTGAACCAGCTGGGAAAGAGGAATTTGTGTTTTCAGTCAGAAGTTTTGGGTGAGAAAACAAACCAAAAAAACCCCACCAAATGAGGTGGATTCCACAACCTGCACCCATCATGCTCCAAAGCTGTGTAACCCAGAGACAGGTGGTGACTGAAGATAAATTGGACTAAAACTGAGCTTGGCCAAGCAAAAACTCCCCCAAGTTTCATCAAAATGAAAGAGCAACTTTACCAGTAGACATGTCCCAGTAAGGAGAGTGTAAAGCAAGCAGAGTCCCCAAACTCCATAACAATGTCATCATGGCTTTTCTGTTTATTCAACACTCCACCAGACAAGATCTGCTCTCCTTCTGCAAGCCTTTTTAAAAAACAAGAGGTTTAAAGGGGGTTACAAGGCTCACAGGACTGGCAGTCCAGTGTGTTTTCACCCTGCTGCAAACAAAGAAACAAAAAAAAACAAACAAAAACAAACACAGAAATCCACTGTCAGTGTTCACAGGTTTCAAAACAACAAACCAGTTCCTGCAAATGAAGGTTAAATAATCCAGGGGTTCTTCTAAAACGGGGAGGTTCAGGACTCTGAGGTCGAACAGCTCTACTGGGAGGGAAGAAAAAAACCAACCCAAACTCCAAATCCCACCCCACTCTGAAAGCAGGGACACAAAATACAGAGTGATTTTTCCAAAAGGGATTAATCTCAGGATTTTAGACAGATTTAGTCTTTCAGACACTTGATTTTTGAGGGTGCTTTGTTTACTAACAAGGCTTCATTAGGCTTTGTTTCTTAGAGAAATACAACCTGCAAGGCCCCACAGGCTCAGCTAGGATCCAGCTTTGGGGACATGGCAGATATTTCAGATTTTAATTTGAAATTTAACTTGAAATTTTACTTGCAGGTAGGTGCTACCACCAACAACAGTGACAGGTAAATGGACCAAATCCTGAAGAGTGTGTTTAAGGAATCTCACTGCCACCAGTCCAGGTTTTGTAAAAGCAAAGGAGAGGAAAACAAGCTGGGAATTTATTCCACTGGGACTTTTTTCAAGCAGGACATCCAGGTGATTTCCCTTTCAGTGGAAGAGGCAAGGAAAGCTGCAGGAGTGGCAAAGGAAACCCCCCAAGCCAAGACATCCTGGCTACTCCAAAGATGTCAAAGAAAAAAGGAGCTTTCCCTGCACACAAATCCTGCAGAATAATCACATCAAACATCCTCTTACCAATTCTTCAGGAAATCAATTTTTTTTTTGACATTGAAAACAAAAAGAGGGACACTCAAAAAAAGCCAAACCAAAAGGAGGAAAAAAAAAAAAAACCACACAAGCTGCTTTGTAGAGAGACATTTAAGTTTTCTGTAAAGAACCCCCCCAGCATTTTAAGCAGTTGGAACAAAAGTTTGTGCCTTTCTTGATGCCTCACCCTTTCAAATCTGCACCTCAGCCAGACATTTGAGCTGAAAGATCCATGTAGACACAAAACACCCTTAGGAACAAACTCTGAGGGCATCAGAGCCTGAAGCTCAAGCAACTCCAGCAAAAAAAAAAATCTCACTGTCAGACCCCAGAAACCTGCAGGACACTTTGCCACCACGTTTCTGTAAAGATTGAATTTTGGTGCTGAAGACAGGATTCTTGGGTGTGGATTCCAGGCTGGTTTGTTGTGTTTTGTGTTTTTTATTTTATAAAACAGAGTCCTGTCTGCCACCTCTTCCCTCACCCCCATGAGCAGTAACTGGGTAAGAGGAACAAGCTCAGCTTTTGAGGGAAGTGGCCAATCCTTAATGGAAACCCTTCAGGAAATCAGAGAGGCACCAACACCTGATGAGTCATCTCTGCAATCAACGTTTTCTCCCTCTACACAGCCTGACAACTCCTGTCTGAAATTATTCAACCCCTTTTAGAGGTTTCTGCGATAAATTCACGCTTGTTGGGTCCACATCCGAAACGGATTTCTACTTGGTGCAACAAGGCAGCTTTCAGAGAGAAATCTAAGCTAAAAAAAATTAAAGTAAATAAATAAAACAAATGCATTGGAGAGAACACAGAGGATTTACTCACTTGCTGAGGTCCACACAACATTTTGCAAGCAGGTATTTGCACTGGGGGGTGGTACAGCTGTGTCCCTTGAGGAGCCTGTAAGCTTTGTAGGCCTTTCCTGAGCGGTAGTAACACGTTGCCAGTAAGAACAGTGCTTCTTCTGAGTGTACTGCAGAGTAAAATAGGTTTAAAAAAACCAGCAGTTAGATCATTTGTCATTTTAATACAAAGAATTTAGCATCCTCACACCTCAAATGTGGTGTTTGCCCAGATGTTCCACTCAAATGACCCTCATGTTTTAAACGCAAGGCTGTCTGTGAACAAAAGCAACTGCAAACTCTTAAATAATTCAGAAACCCACGCTACTTTATACACTTTTCAGGACATGCTACCTTGCAAGTGGAATTCAGCATTAAAGGAAACACAGTTTTGATGTTTGTTCATCTCTACCTACAGGGAACTCTTCAGAAAAAAAAAGAAAAAAAAAATCAATATGAGCAGTGTACAAAAAAACCTCGTTGGGAAATCTGCCCAAATCCTTTGCTACACTGAAAACTGACTGGTTTAAGTTTTAAGTGACAATGGAAACAGAGGATGGCCAAACAGAGGGTTTGCTAAAAACCACCAGAAGATCTCCCTGCAAATTCGAGTGGAATCAATTTTTCATCCACTACTTTGACAGACTCAGCCACAGATGTCCCCCACAAGGACAGTAATTGCAGGTAAAACTTAAAAGTAAGTTCTTCCCAGGGTGAAATCACTGCTGCCAACGTGGAGCATTCAAGTTCTGCAGCTCCTGCTCTGCAGAGGAACTACTTATTTGAAGCAGGAGCCAGATGTTTTGTTAGCAGTTAATTGCTTGCACCAAGTGACAGCTTTCCTGCTGCTTTCCCCTCAGCAATGCTGGTCACTGGGAAAAAAAAAAAAAAAGCTGTTTGAAGTCCTCCTGCAGGGAATTATTCTGTGAAGATGTGGCAGTTGTTAAGTCAGGTATTTTTCTGCTGCAAAAAGAGTGGATTCTCTTGGTTCCTACATCTTTGGTGATTACCTTCAACCTGCCATTTCTAAAACACTGCTCAGGTTTGTTTAGCAGGAGAAATTGTATTTTATTATAGGGGTTTGGGTTTGTTTTTTTTTCCTAGTAGTGATTAGAGGAAAACACCTTTCAAAGCAGAGAAGAAAAAGCTGACCACCAATATCAAAGAGAAAGGAGTACAGGAGATCAAAAAGCTCATCTGAGGTCAGGGAAGAAAGGTTAAAGGAAGGAAAAGGGGCTAAAACACAACAAAAAACGTGGCTGAAAGTCCCAGAAAAACGTGGAGAGATGTGTTACAGCTGCCTGCCCAGCAGCCAGGACATCCCAGACCTGACAGATTACAATCAAGTAACAATTAACAGGAATTCAACTGCAGACACCTGTGCCACATGTCCTGATTCTCACTGTCTGAATTCCTCTCACCATCACAAGATTCTCTCAACCAGCACACCAGACATGCAAGGCTTAAGGTTATTAATGCCAGAAAGCACATCACTGTAAAATTGTACTTAAACACACAACTCCCAGTCTCATTTTTTTTAAGGAAGTTTTGCTGTAAAATAACATTTCTGTTGTTCCCTGCCTTGATCTTCCAACCCAACTGCCAGAGATTCTTCTGCTTTCCCCAAGCAGAAAGTGAAAGTTTGCTGCCAGAACAGGGAGGGGGAAACAAAACCAAAACACCCCAAACAAACTGACAAATAAAAAAACATTAAAAAATCCTTTTATATTTGCAAAGCACATACCTTCTGCATACAACCTCTCTGCCAGGAACACGGCATCACGGTAGGCGTAGTGGTTAAGTGCTTGCCATATAGCAGCCTGCAAGGCAAGGGAACAAACCTGAATTTACAGGGAGCTTGAGAAGTGCAAAATTCATCAGCTCTCGCTGTCAAGAGGCAAAGTTCAGTTTGGTTTTATTGGATTAGTAAAGAAAAGAAAAGGGGGAGGGGGGAAAGGATGAATACACCAGTGAAGTTGTAGCTGTTTTGACTTATAAAAAGCCACCAAACTTAGCACTGAAGTCATGAGCCCACCCAAGGATGTTGTTCACAATCTTCTACAGACCTCAGGAACAGGGAGTTTTAGGCTGGTGCAAAACTCAGCAGGAATTCCTGCCAACCACCACCAAACCCCACGGTGGGTCAGTGCAGCAGCAATCCCACCTTCCCAGCTGGTCACCAGGGATTATCCCACTAAACAAACCACCCCCTCTGGAGATGCCAAATCCCAACCCAGCAGGACTAGAAATTTCTCAGGGTCCAAGATGGTCATTGTGTTGGTTCAGTGTGTTAAATATAAAGGATTTTTCCCTTAAGGGTGATGAAGGTGACCCACTGCTTTTTGGGGAGGTTTTATTTGGACCTTGGTTCATCACTGCCACTCATTAGGCCTGTGAAGCAGCACCCAAGAATGAGTGCAATGCAAATTAAACGCACAAATTGACACGTCCAGCCCTACAGAACCAAACCCACTGCTGAATTCAGCTCATGCAGCCACACCTGGGCAAATCCAGCCCTCTGCTTACGGGTGCTGGTTTTTCCACGACCACCGAGCTCGAGTTTGTGAGAGATTTGGAAAGATGGCACCACTCCAGTGAAACACAAACACACAGGTGTACAAACTGTGCACCAGGAGAGCAGGGGTCAGAATTACTTGCATTTCTGTCACCATCAGCTGAACTACAAAAGCTGTCCAGCTGAAGGGTGAGAGGGTTTCTTCACACAAGCTTCCTTCAGGTCAGGTTAAAAGTCAGCTGTTATCTGTAGAAATGGGGTGGGATGGGAAAAATAATGTCTTTTAAGAGCTGTTCAGCCTTTCCTCCCCACCTACTACAAGGGTAGTGGTGTGAGGGTTGGGACCAGGACAGCAGTTCCTTCCCATCCGATGTCTTTGCTCCAGTCCCGAAGCCAAAAGCCATTTTGCAGCAGTTTTGTCATTAACGACCCCCAAACAAGATCTGAACTCAAGGCACAGTAGTCTAGGATCTCTCAAATATTCATCAGCAAGCAGGAGCAGCTCCTGATACCCATCAAACACCCCAAAACTAAACGAGATCTTCCGGAGAGAAAGCAACGCCGCCCCGCAGCGCAATTCCCGGCGGGAAAGGCAAGCGCCACTTTAAACTAAATAAAAAAAAAATAAAAATAAATCCAAACATCACAGAGTTACATGTACCATATGCTCCTTCTCCCAACGCAAACTTGACAAACACAGGGTGTGAAAACTGCGAATTCTCTTCCCAGGAAGCCCACACAGCCGTCACGAGCAGCACACGCCAGAGATCCCAAGTACTACACACACACATTTACACACGAGATCTCCACGAGAGACACTGTTCTCAACCAGCAGCAGGTCCCAAGAACACACTTCAATAGCCAACAGGTGCTTTTAAGCCGGTGTGAAAGGATTTGAAAGCGTTGGAAAGTGAATTCTCTCGGTCTGATCGTGCTAATACGAACCCCTCATTATTTCTCTCTGGTTGTGTCCCGCACTTATCTCAGAGCCTGCCTGCACTGATTGTTTACTCCCTGTTACCTTGAAGCACTCCCAGGCTGGCTGTGGCTCCAAGCAGTACAAAAACTGAGGCAGAAGGTCAGGGCTAAAAAGCTTTCAGCCCAAGGTCTTTCTCTTTTTCTCCTAAAAAAGTTCCTTTACCGAGCCACAAGCGGCACCCCGACGAATCCAGCCAAGCTGTGTCATCTCCAGGTTCAAAAATCCTGCCTCTGCAGGGCTCAGCCAGCTTACAAAACAAAGGTGTGGGGGTGGGAGTGGTGAAATTGGGGTCATTTGACTCCTCAACCCAGAGCAAGTTGCCAGGAACAATCCTGCCAGAGGCTAAGAGGGGACACGAGGGATTTGGGGCCACGTCACAGCCACGTTCCGAGAGCTGCACTGCCCACCAGCTCAAATAACAATCGTTGCTGAGCAGAGTCCCACTGAAGGCATAAAGTGGCTGGTGGAACAGCCTCCCTGTCACACAGCAACTGTCATTTTGCAGCCCAAAAGGTGCCTGGTGCCCTGGACTGATCAGTGCTGACACCTGGATCCTCACATATGCCCTCCTAAAAGAGCAGGAAAAGGGGAAGGAAGGCAGCAGGGAATCAGCCATACTTATGTAGGGATGATTTTCCACGAGAAAAGATGTCTAAACTATGACTGTGCCTCAAAAAACAAAAGATTTCCTGTGCACCTTTCAGGACAGGACCATCAAAAATAAAGTCACATTCAGACAGGTCCATCTTCTATCCAGAAAACCCCACGGGCACTTTCCAAGTGTCGCTTCATTCCTAAGCCAAGAAGAGCTCTTAGGAGAGCTGTCCTCTTCTGACAGTTATACAGCCTTGGAAATGAGTTGCAAAGCTTTTTTAGGCTGTATTGCCACGCTCAGCAGAATCCTACCATGATTTAAGATGTCTTCAGGGTGGGCAGAAGGGAGGAGAGCTCTGGCTGAGCTACCAAACTCTGCCCACCGAGCACAGACAGACGGGGGGGCTGCAGGTCCTGCAGCCAAACCCCAGCACCATCCAAATGAGTCACAGCAGATGAGCACCTTGAACAGCTAAATTCCAAGCAAAGAGCTCATTTCATTTCCAAGATGTTTTGCAGAAGGATCTGGAAGGCAGCCAGCCTGGGATACAAAGTTTTAGGCCGGGTTTTTAAAAGAAAAAAAAAAAAATCGACCACATCAGAGCTGTAAACTCTGGCGTTTTGTTCAACTTCCAGAATTAAAAGTTAGTAAAAATCTAACCAGCCACCCCAGGATGCCTTTTGGGATGTTCATTTTGTGTAATTACAGCACAATATTTGTGAAGCTACATCCAAACATGGGTCCTCTTATTTCTCTATCACGCCGTGAGAGGTAAATAACATCACAGCTGTAAGAGGAGGGCATTTTTTCTCCTGGAATGCTGAGCCCTGGAGACATCTGAAAGGCTGGGAGAGAGCTGACAGACAGGAAAATAAATAAAATCTCTGCAATGACAAAAATGAGAAGTAGTGTTTAAAAAAATCAGAAAGACAGAGCGAAGTGCAGGGACTTCAGCTAAGCTGGGAATTCAGGACTTCACCCAGTCACAAATAATCCCTAAATTTACCAGTCCTGCTGCGAGCAAGGAACAGCAACAAAAGCAGGGCTAAAGGAGCGACTTGGCCTTTGAAAGCAGAATTTAAGCAGGTATTTTCAATCTAAACAGATATATTCAACAAAGCAAGGCCTCATCGAAACACCCAAGGGGGTAAGAGGAGGTGAAGAAGGGAGAGTGGCATCAGAGAGGTCTTTTCCTTGCTGGAACACGAAAGCCAGCCCCCCAGTTTTCTCTCAGAACAGCACACATTTTCCACTTGGTCAGGCTAATTAGCAGAGCACCGGAAACATTGGGTATTGTTTCCTGTCCTTCACTCTGCTCTGCGATTCCTGCTTCCTCTGCCATTGTAATCCCGGGTTTTCCTGGAGTACCCCCAGCCGGTGCCAAACACCCAGCCCGGCTCCGAGGGGGTGGGATGAGCACGGCAGGACAGGGCAAAAGCTCTTCCAGCGCTGCACTGACCCTTGTCCTCAGAGCGGTGGCATCGAGGGCACAACCCCCTGCTCTACGGGAGTGCCACCCCCTTGCACAGGCAGGGGGAAAGCCAGAAGGGTGATTTTCCACAGGAGGAAAAAACCCTTTATTCCCCCTTCCACCTTTCCATCAGAAGGAAAAGAGCCAAGAGCAAGAATTCTCACAGTGTTCATTACAGAACACAAGCGTGTTCTGCCAGGACTCCTATGCCAGGAACCTCTTGCTGTTAACTAGAAGACAAAAGCCCCCAAACAGCCCGTTAAAAAGCTAAAAATAATACTGAAATAAAGAAGGGGAACGTGAATTAAGATGACCGATTAGCGAAGATCACGAATAGCTGGAGAGCGGGCATACAGCAAGTGTGGAAAGAAAAAGCAACTCTCGAACGTGTGAATCACGTCTTTTGGATGGGGAGAGCACGAAGCCCATCGGGGGCAGCCGCAGCGAGACCGAGACGTGGTGGAAAAGCGGAATTCAGGTTATTTTCTCTCCCAGGTCTCCCCCCAGCCCGAGGGGGAGCGAGGAACGTCCTTCGCTCGCACACGCGCAGGAGCCGAGCACGCCGTGAGCATTTCCAAACCACCAAACGCAGCAAGGTGAGCGAGGTATCAACAGGTCTCCCGGGGGATCTGCGGCGGAGGGAGGAGGTTGGGGTGGTGGGGAGCCTTTCCCGGGAGCCAAACCGGCCGCGGAGCGACCGAGGGGGGACCCGGTGGCGGCCGGTCCCGGGGCCGCGGGGATGGGGCCGGCAGGCTGGAAGGGGAAGCCCGGCGGGAGGGACGGCGGAGGAGCCGGAGGTCCTGCGGGCCCACGGCCGAGGGGGGTCCCCCGGGGAGCGGCGCGGACGGGGCGGCCTCACCCGGGCCGGGCCGGGCCTTGGGGCCTGAGCCGCCCGGGGGTCGGTACCTGGACGGGTTCCTGCAGCACCGTCATCCTGCTCTCCCCGGCCTCCGCCTCCTGGTCGCCGAGCCCGAGCGGGGGCGGTCCCGGTGGCGGCGCCGGTGCCGGCCCAGCTCAGAACGAGTCCCGGCGGGGCCCGGCCCGGCCGCGGCTCATTTGAACCCGCACCGACCGTTACCGGAGCGAGCGAGGCCGGCGGGCGCCGAGTCCGCCCGAACCGGCGGCGGAAATACCCGAACGGTCCGCCGGAAATACCCGAAGGCGCGGGCGGAAAGTGCCGAGCGCCGACGGAAAACAGCTGGGAGAGCTGCGCTCGGCAGCGCCGCCGTGGCGGAGACGGCCGAGCCTGGACGATGATGGCCGAGCCGGGGCGGAGCCGCCCGAGCCGGGGCGGAGGTGCCCGAGTAGTAACGGAAATGACCGAGCGTGAGGGGACCGGTGAACCCACGGCGGGGTCTGGGGTTCGTCCCTCAGAGCCCCTTTGTGCCCACGGGATGGAGAAACTTGCACTTTGTGCCCCAAAACGGGCTCGGGGGGTCCCCGGGTCTGTCGGCAGCCCCCGCGTCCCTCGCGGTGCTGGTCCCAGGGCTCCCTCCTGCCATCGCTGGTGTGTCCTGAGCCAGCCCGGCCCTGTGCCCGTTCCCAGGGTTGGAGCCGGCGCTGGCCAGGTCCTGTTCTCAGGGGTTCTGAGCGGGGTTCAGCCGCGATATCACTGAGGTTGGAAAAGATCTCAGAGATCATCGAGCCCACCCTGTGCCCGATGCCCACCTTGTCCCCTAGCCCGGAGCACTGAGTGCCACGGCCAGTCCTTCCTTGGACACCTCCAGGGACAGGGAGTCCACCACCCCCTGGGCCGCCCCTTCCCGTGCTTAAGAATACTTTTCAGGAATAAATTCCTCCCGATTTCCAACCTGCCCCTCCCCTGGCACAGCTGAGGCAGACAGAGCTGTCCCTGTTCCCTGGGAGCAGAGCCCGAGCCCCCCCGGCTCCCCCCTCCTGTCAGGGATTGCAGAGCCAGAAGGTCCCCCCTGAGCCTCCTTTTCTCCAGGCTGAGCCCCCCAGCTCCCTCAGCTGCTCCTGCTGCTCCAGCCCCTTCCCTGGACACCCTCCAGCCCCTCCCCTCGTATCCAGAAGTAAAACCCACAGATCGGGCTGTGGGGACAAAGGGCTTGATTTTCCATTTACAATTTGGTTTGAAGGTGCCACGGGATTAAAGATGCACAACTAAGCCTCGCTCGAGTTATTAAAAATACCAAGCCCTACCCATAGCCACCTGCGAGCAGCAGAGGCCTTCCTCCTCCAAATCCTTCCGTGGGCTCCCTGAAACACAATCAGCCACAACACCGCCCTCACACACACACCTACACACGCACTCTGTGCTCCCTCCTGCTCTTCCCAGGGCTTTGCACTTGCACCCAGCTGCCTGAGGGCTGGATCCTGACTTGCAGCTGAACAGGGGCTGTGTCTTTTATATGAGAATTAAAGCTGCCTGTGGAGCAGGGGGGGCTCAGCTGGCCTCTTTCCCCTCTGAAAGGTGTCGTTGTGTTTGTTATCGGCAGGCAATCTGCAGGTGTTTGCTTTCAGGGTGTGAGCAGGCAGAGCTTTCTTCAGTCCCTCACCTGAGACACAGGAATGAGAAGGGGCAGGGAGCAGAGCTGTCCCCTGGGATGGACACCTGGCTCAGTGTCAGCCTGACCTGCTGGACATGAGGGGGTGAGCAACAGGACAGTGAAGTGTCACCTCCCCTGCAGGCCTTTGGTGACCATGATGATGATGATGATGATGATGATGATGATGATGATGTGTGTACGTGGTCTGGGGCTCTGAGGAGCCTTCCAAGGAGCGCAGTTCCTGTTCATCGTCCTCCCCCGATCTGGTGCACTGCTGATAACTCCTGGGGATGAAAGTTGGCTCCGTCTCTCTCTCCCATTCCACGGGGCACAGAACTCCTGACATCCAGACCTTCTTTGGTATGAGAGTCTGGCTTATCACAGCCTGAGGAGATACAGGCTCTCCCGAGGGTGGGGGTTCCTTCTGCCTCTCCTCAGAATTCCCTGGATGCTGTAAAGCATCCAAACTGTAAAAGGGCAGTGTTTGCTGTTGTCTTTGGAGGTCTGGATTTATGGGGACTCCTCCAGCGCGGCTCTGCCTGTGGGATCACTCACTGGCGCCCACAGAAGCTTTTACAAATGTCTGTGAGACTAAAACCACTCACTCTGTGGAATCCTCAGCTTATCCAGAGGAGGAGAGGAGCAGCTTTTCCAGGGGACCCATTTAGAGGTGCATCAATCCAACCTGCTTTGCTACAAACCCACTCTACTTCACCCTAAAGACACAGAGCAGGTGCCCAAAGTGAAGCATGGCAGGCTCTCACCCCGAGGGTGCCTCAGGGGCTGGATTTTTCAGGTGGAAAACTACATTTTCCTGCAGCCCTGTCATTTCCCACCGCTCCCTTTCTGCCTGCCTCTTTGCTCTTTGGTTTTAATTCAGTGTCACTGCTGTCAGCACGGGAGCTGGAGGTGCTAAACACAAAGGGGTTAAACACAAAACCTGTGCCCTGCATGAGGGAGTGAGAGTGCAGCCTTTGGGCTTGCCAGGGCAGGGATGTCATGGATCTAGCAGGGATATCATGGATCTAGCAGGGATATCACAGCTCCAGAGCCCCCAGTTCTTGCTGTGGGTTTCCTCAGGCAGGTCCCTGCCTCTCCCCTGCTCACTCCTCTCCCCCACAGCACGTTCCTCTGCAGGAGTCGATGGCACAGCAGTGACAAGGACAAACGTGACCCCAGAGCGAGCAGGGTCCCCTCTCACCCCGTCCCCACGGTCCTCTGAGAGGTTAAAACACTCCACAGCACACGAAAGGCACGAGGTGCCCACATCCTGCCCGGTGGGAGCTGCAGGAACAGCACAGAGAGGAGCTCCAATCTAATCTCGCATCTATAAACAGCTTGTGTTGCTTTTTATGAGCAGCTGAATCCAAGAGTGGGAATTGAAAGCAGCTGCTGCTCGGGGACTGCGCAGGAACGAGCGAGTGGCGGCTGAAGCCGAAGAACCATCCAGGCAGCCCATCCTGCCCGGGCTCCATCCCAACCAAGTCACCCCCTGCCCCCCAGGGACCGCTCACCCCGTGCCATGAGGGTGGAGGTGGCACCTGGCCCAGCAATACCTGTTCTTTGCCCGTTTTCCTCCTCCCTTGCTGAGTCACCAAGCCTCAACTTCCAGGAAACCTTCAACACTAGACCTTTGGATCTGTCCGTGATCCAGAATGTTTTTGATGTTCTATCTGATGTTTTGGGGTTTTTCTGATGACCCTCACCCCCAAGTCTGAGCTCTTGCCTCACATTCCCTGCCTTTTCCCCTTTCTCCATGGGAATATCCTGTTACCCCCCCAGAGCTGGGGGGGACCGAGGGGGTCTCCTCCGGCCACCTCGTCGATGAATTGCCCGGAGCCAAAGCAGACAAAGCACGCCAGGGAGGAAGGACTTCATTTAATGAGCCAGAAAAACTGAAAACAATAACTTAAGGTTTCAAAGCAGGTTGCAGATGCCTTGGGCACACACACACACACACACACACGGAGAGCAAGGAGTGGTGGCTCATGTGGAGCGTCTTGTGGAGAAGGACACGGATGGAGGGACCTCGCTCATCGTGGTGGTGCTCAGGTGGCTCCAAACATTCCCAAGAGCCTGGGAGACAAGCAGGAGAGGGCCCAATGCAGTGAGTCTGCTCTCCTCCCCAGATAAACCCAAAATGTCAATGGCTGTCATTCCATACCAGTAAAAAATGGGGTTTTATGCAAATAGTTTGGTGAAGGATTAAATCTCCCGGCAGCGTTGGCCACCCAACCACCTCTGTGGCTGAGCTGATGAGCAGGAGAGAAATGGATTAAAAAGAAAATAAAAAGGATGCTGAACATTCCAAGTTCAGACTTCTGTCTGTGTCCATTTTAATCTTCTGATGTTTAAAGAGATTTGGGGGCGGGGAGAGATTTTTAAATGTTTCATTTGTGTATTTAGTAGTATCTGAAGGTCATTTTTATGTCTCTTTTTTTTTTCCCCTGCTGCTTCACACAGCTGAGGGGAGGAGAAACATTTAAGGAAAGTAAATAGATAACAAACCATAACAAATTGGGAAGGGGGGGGCTGGGGCCAACCAGCAATTTGGATTTTCCTGAAAATTGAATAGATCTCAGAGGGATAATTCACCCTAAAAGAAACCTGTTTTCCTCAAGGCAGACTTAAAACTGGCAGGAGTTACGAATGAGACTCCTTCTCATCAGCACAGCTTTTTGTGCCTCCAGAGCTGAGGCTGTTCCACTGCAGCTTTGGGGTTTGGTTCCTCTCTGCCCCTGCCTGTTCCGTACAGGAGCTCCAATTTCCGAGGAGTGAGACCCCAGGAACTCACCTTTCAGCCAGACATGATGTGCTTGACAAAAGCTGAGGAGAGATGAGAGTGTGAGAGGTCAGGGGACGGTGGGAGCTGGGGGTGCAGCAGGGGGGACCCCCAGCTGGGACACCCCAAGGATGCCAGGACTGGCATCTTCCCATTTTTTGTGTGCCACCCCCAACCTGGTTAAAGGGACGCCAACCCTGACAGATGAGCTGGTAGAATTATCCCCAGTTCTCTGAGGCCAAGGGAAATGGGTCCCCTCTTTTCCTCAACACTCTCCAATTTTAGTGATTCCCAAATTTACACCCCCCCCCTTCCAGATTTTCACCCTCTTGGAGCCGTGAGCGATCCAGGTCTCCAAATGTTCCCAATTAGCCTCTGCTGGGAAAGGTGCTGGCTTTGTTTATTTTTGAGAGCTTACAACAAAACAGTGCCAAAACCAGGGACAAAACCATCCTGAAACCCTTGGAAACGTGCTGGCTTCAGCTGCTTTTCCTGGAAATCCCTGGCAGGATTGCTTTGTTCCTGCCTTGTTCCCACCCCAGCTGACTTGTCTCAGGAAGGGCCATCCACACCTCCCTCCTGGTGATCAGCAATGTCACAGAACCATGGAATCATTCAGGCTGGAAAAGACTTCTAAGATCATTGATTCCAACCGGGATTTTTCATCCCAAGACAAGACAGTCGTGTCTGAGATGGCCCCAGTGGGAATCTCTCACTCTCACCTTCATAGTTGATACAGCCATTGGCATCTTCCTGCCCTGCCATCAGCTGCTCCACCTCGCTCTCCGTCATCTTCTCCCCTGCCAGAGGAGGATGGGGAGGGGTGAGGGGAAGGGTTCTGGGCCTGCCAGGACCTTCCAGTCCTTATCCCAGAAAGCCAAAGCCACCAGAGGAAAGGAAACAATGGGATTAGAGAGGGAGCTGTGTGCCCACAGAGATCGTGGGGAGAGGATCAAGCTGTCTGATAAGTTGAGGATGGTCTGGACTCTCCACCTCCCCCAGGTTACACCTGAAGCTGCAGCACGAGAAGAGGCCACACAGTCAGAAGGGTCTCTGTGACACAAGCCCAGCCCCTTGCCCAGGGTGGTGGCCCTTGCCCAGGGTGGTGGCCCTTGCCCAGGGTGGTGGCCCTTGCCCTGCTGCCCCCCTGGGCCAGCCCGTACCCAGCGTGACCAGCACGTGGCGCAGCTCGGCCCCCATCACCATCCCGTTGCCCTCCTTGTCGAAGACCCGCAGCCCCTCCACGAAGTCCTCGAAGGTGCCCTGCTCCTTGTTGCGGGTGAAGTGCTGCAGGATGGGCAGGAAGGTCTCGAAGTCCAGCATCTTTGTGTTCATCTCTGGAAGGGAAGGCGGGGTCGGGGGTGCGTTTTGTGTCACGGGATGTTCCGAGCGGGAAGGGACCCCCCGAGGATCGTTGAGTCTGACTGGGATGTGAATGTGGATCAAAGCCTACAGCCTTGGCTTTACAAGCACCAGGCTCTGGGGCTGAACTCAGCCTCTGGGAGCCTCCTGCTCACGAGGAGATGGGACTGTTCTATTACACTTGAGACTGGAAGATCCATATGAGGAATCAGATATTAACATCAGGGGACTGCACAGACACCCCTGATATCAGCCCAAAAATTAAAGCAGCGGGTGGGTCCTCTGGCCCCAGGGCTATGTGGCTGTGCTGGGACTGGTCAGGTCACACCAGCTTGTACCAGTTCAGGTACAAAGCATCATTTGCCGCCATCCCTGGGCGAGCACCGCCTATCCCTTCTGTCAGCCGTGGTATGGAGAAGGGGAGTGAAGGAATTATCCAGGAATGAAGCCCGTCTGCATAATTTCCCTCCCCATTCCTTCACCTTGCCGGGTTGTTCCTACAGGGATCATACCCTCTGCTGGCAGCCAGGGAGCTCAGGGATTCCTTGTCCCACCCTGCCCCCCGGTTTGCTCGTCACCTTCTGGTTTGGGCTTGCCCAGCACCTTCAGGACCTCGGCGTTGGTGGGGTTGTGGCCGAGTGCCCGCAGGACGTCCCCGCACTGCCCGTAGCTGATCTGCATCGTCCCCGCCGCCGTCCGGTCAAACAGCCCGAAGGCTTCTCTGAACTCTGCGCGGAGGAAGCGCTCGGATGGCCCCGGCCGTGCCCACCCCATCTCCCACTCCAGCGAAGAGGGCGACACGCGTGTGTGTGTGGGGTGGGTGCCCTCTGAACGCTGTGCGGGCTTGGAGGCTGCCGGGCTCCTTGCAGGAGCCGCTCAGCTGCCCGAGCAGGTTTTGTCACCTGTGAGGAGGTGGCCGGGTGACCTCCTGGATCCCTGCAGGAGGACATCCCTGCTCATCCCCTTTCCCACCGGGATCTCCCCTCTCTGGAGCTATCCCTGCATCGCCAGAGGCTGCTCCTCCCACCAGAACCCCCGACTTTGACCCAGGGGCTGCATCTCGCCCCGTGAATGAAAAATTCCCTTTCCCTGCCAGGCTCTGGATCCCGCTGGGCTTTCCCTCGGGAGGGGATTTGATGTGCGGGGCCTCGGCTCTCATGTCTGTGGTTGAAAAACTACCTGGAAAAAGGGATTGCCCGTTTCTAAGGGAGAAACTGAGCTCGGCACTTACCTTCGATCTGCTCTGCTGTGAATTCAATCTGCGAAGAGAAGGCGACAGAGCTGGGCGTGAGGGGGGTGTTACTGCCCGGGGGAACGAAGGGGCTCTCCCATCCCTTTGGATCTCCCCCTCCCCTGGCTCGGGGCAGGAGCCGTATCCATGCCCAGATCCCTGTGGAAAGCACCGCCAGCAGCAGAGCAGGGATGCTCAGACCACAGTCAGGGCTATTTTTTGAGTGGAAAGGATGTTATTTTAAGGCCTGATCCCCAGTTCAAGTGATTAAACAGCCCCCGTGCTGAGCCTGCTCTTAATGGCTCTCCTGCCACAGCTCCGGCTCAAAAATGTGACTATCCCGGGGAATCACGGAAAAAAAGCGAGATCCCGTTGTGGATCTTGGATAAAAGAGGCTCTTTTATGTGGAGGAGGCAACACAGGCAACAAAATACTTCAGGACGCAGACGGTGGGTGGCAGGGAAGGGTTTTATCGCTGCTGGGGCCCCGACACGGAGTCTCAGCGGGAGCTGTGGGGGTTCCACTGCACACCCGGAGCTCTGGGCTGGATGGAGAAGCTGGGCTGGGTGGAGAAGAATAAAACATCTTCCCCCCAACCACCACCAAGTGAGGAGAGCATCGCTCCCAGCCTGCTGCATCCACACCGTCCAGCAGCTTTCCCCTCCCGAGCCTGGCTCCCAGCCTGGCTCCCAAGCCTGGCTCCCAGCCTGGCTGATGCCTTTTGTGCGGCGCTTTGCACCGCCCGCGCCCGGCAGATGACGGGCACGGAGGAAGACGGTGACGTCTTCGTTCCTCACTCACCTTCACGCTCTTGGGATCGAAGGCGGGCTCCCGGCATGGCTCCGAGCCCGCTTTGCCCGATTCCTTCTTGGGGTCGGGTTTCTTGAGCGGCATCGCCGGGATTTGTGGAGGTGCTGGGGAGGGGGGGAGCTCCTGGCGCCCGGCGAGGGAAGGGAACGGAGGGATGAAAGGCAAAGGCTGCTCCTTCCCTTATATACGGAGCCCAGTCCTCAGCCCGGAGGGGCAGGCCAGCTGCTGGAGCAACTGCTACTTACTATAAAAGGAAGAAAACTCAAACGAGAGGGGCCCCAATTTGACAATTGCCCATTGTCATCGCCTCCTGGCTCCGAGGAGCCACCCCCACCCCCTCCTCAGCTGCAACAGGGGGGACGTGTCCCCCTCCAGCACCTGCAGCGGGTGGGCTGCTCGCTAATGACCACTGAAAACCTAAACTCAGACGGCCACGGGGGCCTGGCAAGGAAACAGCAACGTGATGGCTGAGAAACCTGCCGGGATACCCATGGGGAAAGTGTCTCTTTCCAGAGGGGGCTGGGGCTGCAGAGCCCTTTTAAGTCCAGGATTCATGAACTGCTCCTCCAAAGGAGCTCAAAACTCTCTGAATGATCCCCCCCCTCGTTCTTAGAGTCTGGTTTGCCCCATTGTCTTCCCAGGGTTGGATTGTGCCCTGGAAAAGGCCACGCTGTAGGTGCTCACCTCCCTTGGGGTGGGTGATGAGGTCATGCAAATGATGGCCAAAGCCAGCACTGAATTCACCAGTTCGGGGCCTTTCCCAGCCCTGCACCACCCATCCCAAGCGTCCCCAAAACCTGCAGGGCAGATGGGATCCCCTTTTGGCTCCCCTCCAGTCACAGGGCAGGCTCCAGTGGGAGCTATTCCTGCTCTCACCCTCCCCTCCCAACTGTTTGAAGACCCATGGAATGGGCAGGAGAACTCATCCCAGGAAATGGGGCTCCAGCCATCCCAAACCATCAACTGAAACATGGCCAGGCTGTACCAGGGCACAGGAGGAGGAAAATGCTCTCAGGCACACGGTGGGATTGTTCAGGTGTCCTGTGCAGGGACTTGAGGATGTTTGTGGCTCCCTTCCAACTCGGGATATTCTGGGAAAACCCATCCCAAGTTTGCACTGGGATCCAAGAGCTGATGTTCTGGTAACAGGAGCAAATGGACAAGAAGTGATTTACAGCAGATGAGAGTGTCCTCTGTGCTGTGGAGGTGCTGCTCAGCCTCGTCTCCCTGAGCAGCACGGGCTTGAGTTGGGCTCAGGGATGGTTGGAAGCCTCTGGGTGGAACAGAATCCTGGGGGATGTTGTTAGTCCTGGTGCCAGAGCTACGAGGTCTCGGTGCTGGCTGGAGCCTGAGCCGTTATATTTTTACATCAACATACATAAACACATTCTATATGTGTGTATTTAAGTGCTGTTTATACACAGCTATAGAAAATGCCATTATATTTGTATTTTTAGTGGCTCAGTCTTGGCACGAGCAGGCAGATCTAATCCTGCTGCTCGGGAGCTGACACAGGGCCAGGAGAGATGGGAATGGGGGTGTCACCAGCTCAGCCCTGTGCTCAGAACTCCCCCCAGTCTCTTCCTCGCTGAAGGCAGAGGCTGAGCCATCACCAGCCGGGTTAGGAGGGTCACTCAGGAGGAGGAGGAGCAGCCACAGATAGCTGGGATTCGCTGCTGTCACCTCCTGATTGCTGTGGGGGCTCGGGGAGCTGAGGGGGCTGGATGGGTGTCATTTGCAATCATTGCTTTCCAGAGCTCTCTAGAATATAACAAGTTCATTTAGCAAAAAAAAACCAAACACAACAACCCAGCCTGGTTTTTTTTGCTAAGTGTGAACTCGGAGCCTGGGTCGGGTTTCGCCTGGGAAATCAAGGGAATCAAATTGCCCCCGAGCTGCCTCCCCCTCAGCATCCGTCTGTGACTCCGAAATAACCTCGCCCCAGCTCCATCCTCCCTCCTCGGCAGCCCCTGGGTCAGAAACGAGACCCAGCAAAGCCTTCAGGAAACGTTCATCCCGCCGTTTGGCTGCTCATCCCTCCGTGCCCGAGCAGCATCCCGAGGATCCCAGAGCGGTGCCCTGGGCCGTGTCACACCCACGCCGTGGGCCGGCCCGTGGCTAAATTGGGCTGGGGAGACGGGCAGCTGCCCGAGATGCCCCTAATCCCTGCTTGGTTTCCACGGCAGGGCTTGTTTTCCCGTCTGAATGGATCAGCGGGAGCCCCTCCCGTGCCCTGTCCTTTGGATTTTCCCTGCTCCCTCGGCCGCTGACGCTCCTTCCCCTGCCACGGGAGCCCAGCAGAGCCCTGACCCTCCACGCAGCCACAGGGGCTCGTGGCAGGGACCAGGAAAGGCCCGAGGAGGCTCCGGGGGCTCTGCTGCTCCCTGCGGGATTGTGGCGCTCACGGATCCCACGGAGGGAGAGGCCCGGGCTGGGAGCTGCTCCCCCTGGGATTTGACACCGGGCTGTGGAATTTCAGCCTCATCCCGCCAAGGATGACCTGCCCAGGGAACGAGGACCCCCCTCTTTGTGCCCCATTTCCCCCGGGGGGCTGCTGGGGGGGTCACAAGGTGTGGGAGCTGGCGGGGTGGTGGGAGCTGGCTGGGAATCGGCGTGACCCCAAAAGGCAGGGGACGGCCCTGGGCCTCCGTGGGGGGATGCAGGGACAAGGGATGGCTCTGACAAGGGGGACCAGCTCTGACACGAGGCCCAAGGACCCCCCAGCTGGGTGGGACCCCATGCAGGTGGCAGCTCCCTCCGTGTCCCTGCTCAGCTGATGGAGCCTCCAGCCCCTCTCTGCAGGAGCCCCAGTGCAGACGAGCAGTGAGGTCACAGCAGGGACCTGGGGGAGCAGGACTGACACCAGCACATCTCCCCAGCACACCCCCCAAGCCCTAGAGAAGGAAAAGGGTTAAACTGGTGCCTGCCTGGAAGACATCCCATCTCACGAGCATCAGCTCGAGGTGCTCTCACGTGCTTGCACCCTCTGCCTCCAGTCACCTCCCCGGGATATTCCCCACCTTCCCCGGGCTCCTCGGGACCACTCCTGGGCTGGAGGGGACCGGGGAGTGTGGGGGCAAGGGGAGGATGCTGTGACAGCTGAAAAATGAGCCACCAGGCAGTGAGAGAAGTTTCTGAAAAGAGAAGAGGAATCTGCCCTGAATGAAGAGGATTTTAGCACCTAGGGCTAAGCCAATAAACCTCTGCCGTCCCCATCCGAACGGGAATTGTTTGCACACGCTCCAGGAGCTGCTTAAAGCTGGCGAGACACGGAGAGGGAATAGGATCAAGCGCTGTGGGGGGGAGAAACCCCCCCTGCCCGGAGAGCCTGCGAGCAGATCCCGAAAGTGCTGCCAGGGCAGTGCCCACCGGGACAGGGGGCTCGCCCCGGGGCTCCCAGGGACGGGCTGTGCCCCCGCTGCCACCTCACCTCGGCGGGGCCAGGGAGGCGCTCCCAGAGGATGCTCTGTCCTGCTGAACGCACCAGCCCTCTCCGTCACCCACGGCCTGGGGCTGGCAGCGGTCCCTGAGGTCCCCGTCGAGTGGCACGGTGGCACTATGGAGGCGTCCGTCCCCGTGGGAGGTGTCACGGTGGCTCTCCTCTGCTGCTGCCTGCTGAGCTCTGCGTGGGCTCTGGTAAGTCTGCGTGGCCCCGTGGGCTGCTCCGGTCCCGTCTCCCGGCTCTGAACGTCGCTGGTTGTGCCGCCCTCCCCCGTCGGGGCTGGGTGTGCTCCGGGCTGCACGTCCCGCTCCGCGGAGCTGCAGGGCAGGGAGGGGAGGGGAGGGCAGAGCATCTCCACTCCCGCTAAAAGCTTTCCAGCAGCCGTGGAAGCACCGTGGAGTGATGGCTCATCCATTTCTTGGACGCTCCCAGGGCAGGGGTCAGCGCCTCGCGGGTGTTGGGGAACGGAGCGGGCGTTTACGGTCAGAGCAGGGGGGGTGAGGCCAGGGCAGAGCTGGGCACAGCCAGGGTGACTCCCAAAGCCAGGCCCTCACCTTGCTGGGGCACCCCCAGGACCCCAACTCCTGCTCTACACCCCTCACGAGTCTCCCATCCACCCACCCAGAACGTGGATGGGGGTCCAGGTCTCCTCTCCGGGTCTGGAGCTGGAAGTGTTCCCATTGACAGTGGGCAGACCAGGCAGAGCAAACCCCCTCCATTCTCGCTCCTTCTCACTCCCAAAACTGTTTCCTCGTCCCAGCTCCAAATTCCTTGGAGCATCTCAGCCCAGAACATCCCAAAAGACGTGTGGTGTGACCAGGAGGCTGAAGGTGTCCCAGGCAGCACCATCTGCCCCACCCAGCTCCAGGCACTGGGCACCCACTGCCTTGCACCCACTTTGACCGAGGGGTCACTTGGGTTTTGCTCGGGGCAGGTGGACCCTGACGACGTTCTCACCAAAGAAGAGCAGATCTATCTGCTGGTGGAAGCCAAGGAGAAGTGTCAGAGGGACATCAAGGCCCAGCTGGAGAAGAGCAGAGGTATTGTCCCTCCCTGGGCACGGTCAGCCAGCCCTGGCAGAGCGGGTCACACCCCGGGAAATGCTGTCCCCTGCAGGGGAGTGGGATGGGGCCAGGGACATGTGGCTGCTGAGGGTTTGTGGAGCTCCTGGCTGCTCTGGGTGCAATCAGGTGCTAATCAAGCCATCACCCTGAGGAGCCAGCACTGGCTGCAGCGTTTTCCAGACAGCCCCAGGTACACAGCAAATGAGAGCTGTGGAGGAGCTTCCACCCTGGAAGAGGTGGGATGGGATGGGATGGGATGGGATGGGATGTGTCCCCCTCCCTGGCTCCCCCAGCTCTGCAGCCCAGGGCTGACGTGTGGCAGCGTTTTCCTCTCCCTGGGGAAGGCGGAGGTTGCTCTGAGGCCCCCATGGGAGATGTGAGATGTGTCTTTTTGGCCAGACACCAGCTGCCCTCCGGAGTGGGACGGGATCATCTGCTGGCCACGGGGCTCCCCCAGCCAGGAGGTGTCGGTGCCCTGCCCCGACTACATCTACGACTTCAACCATAAAGGTGAGTGCTTGAACCTCACCTCGGGGACGATCCAGGGAGCAGGGACGTGTCAGGGCATCCCCCGGGTGGGTCCTGCCGCTGTCCCAGCGCCCTTTGCCGTCCCCAGGTCACGCCTACAGGTACTGCAGTGCCTACGGCACCTGGGCCATGGCCCTCAGCATCAACAAGACCTGGGCCAACTACACTGAGTGCGCTCTGCTCTTCTCCTCCGAGGGCCGGAGCCGTGAGAAGGTGACCTCGCCTGACAAAGGGGTGGGAGGGGGACTGAGCCTGCCCCAAAGGCCAGGGGGATTGCTGGGAGAGGGGGGCTCTTCCCGCTCCACTCCCCAAACCAGCCCTGCCCCACCCTGCACTCCCAGCCCGGGGGTGGGGGGTCCTGGCTGTGAGGGGGTCGTGGAGCTCATCCCTTCTCCTGCAGGAGGTGTTTGACCGCCTGCACCTGATGTACACGGTGGGCTACTCCATCTCCCTGGCCTCCCTCATCGTCGCCGTCTGCATCCTCTCCTACTTCAAGTAAGGATGGGCCAAAGCCCCAAACCCCTGTGGGGAGAACCCTCCTGGCTCCCACTGCCCCCACACACAGCCCCTGAGGAGGGGGGGCAGCCCTACGGGAATGGGAAGTGACCCCAGGCCCAGCACAGACACCACACAATTTCCCAGCTCCATCTGCTCCACCCTGCTCTTGGAAGGGATGGACAACCCCACCTGCCCACACAGCTGGTTTCTGTGCCCACTGCAGGGCTGACACCCTGGGCCCACCCCTGGGACCCCCCATTGCTGAGCCCGGGTGTGATGAGTTTGCTGGGCTCGTGTCACGTCCCCCTCCGCAGGCGCCTGCACTGCACCCGGAATTACATCCACGTCCACCTCTTCACCTCCTTCATCTGCCGGGCCCTCAGCATCTTCGTGAAGGACGTGGTGCTCTACTCAGGCCCCCTGGCCAGCGAGACCGACAGGATGAGGGAGGACGACTTCAAGGCTGGAATGGGACCCTCGCAGGGACAACGGAGCCACCTGGCAAGTGGGACCTGCCCTGGGACCGCAGGCAGGATGGGGGGAAAGGGGATTTTGGAGCTCTGGTGCAAGGGATGTGCGTGGGACCCTCCCAGCTCGGGGCTGTGCTGCTCAGGGGGAGGGGATGAAGGGCCACCTTTGGCTCTGCCCGGCTCCTCCCCATCCTGGTTGGTGCCACTGTTGGTCTGGAGTTTGTGTCCTGGTACAGGGGATGCCTGTGCTGTGGGAGGTACTGGAATTTCCCAGGGTGGATGGAGGTCTCTGCAAGGGGAACACGGGGCACAGCTGAGTCAGAGAGCAAAAGCCATCAGGTTTTGCTCTTGGGGACCAGCCTGACACGGGCACCTCTCTGTCTGCATTCACAGGTTGGCTGCAAGGTGGTGGTGACTCTCTTCCTCTACTTTCTGGCCACCAACCACTACTGGATCCTGGTGGAAGGTCTCTACCTGCACAGCCTCATCTTCATGGCCTTCCTCTCCAACAAGAGCTACCTGTGGGTGCTCATCATCATCGGCTGGGGTGAGCACAGGGCCCAGCCCGGGAGCGTGAGAGCCCGGGGAAGGGCAGTGGGATGCAGGAACCACTTTGATCTGCAAATGTGACGCTTCATCCCTCACTCCTCACTCTGGTCCTGCCCCTCCAGGTCTCCCTGCTGTGTTTGTGTCCGTCTGGGCCAGCGTCAGGGCCTCGCTGGCCGACACTCAGTACGTAACAGCCCCCTTCTGGGGGGGGAAAGGGGGGTTCCCGGTGCCAGCAAAGTGTCTGTGGGCACCAGGTGTTCAGCAGGAATTTGGGGATGAGGTGGGTGTTGGCTGGGGGAACAGGGAGCCATCAGCCAGCCGATGTCAGGTTTCTCCAAGGTGTTTCTTTACTGGTCTTCTCAGGTGCTGGGACCTCAGTGCGGGCAACATGAAGTGGATTTATCAGGTGCCCATCTTGGCTGCCATCGTGGTAAGAATCACAGAATCACAGCAACACTTGGGTTGGGAAACACCCCTGAGTGCAACCTTTGAGCGATCCCCACCTGGTCAGCGAGTGCCACGTCCAGTCCTTCCTCGGACACCTCCAGGGCTGGGGACTCCAAACCTCCCTGGGGCTGTGTGGGCAGACCCAAGGGTGCTGTGGGCAACACCCACACCGGGTGTCTGTTGGCAGGTGAACTTCTTCCTCTTCCTCAACATCGTCCGGGTTTTGGCCTCCAAGCTCTGGGAGACCCCCACGGGCAAGCTGGACCCCCGGCAGCAGTACAGGCAAGTGCTGGCAGCAGCAACCCCTGCCTGGCTCCTGTCCTGCCTGCTCGGCCCCACCAGCTCCCAGAGGGCTGTGAATGAGCAGCAGAGGTGTGGGAAGGGCTGGACGAGGGAAGGGGAGCAGCAGGGGGGTTGAAACCCAGCTCAGGAGCCCAAGCTCTGCCTGCTCCCATCTCCAAGCCCTCCAGCAGGTCCCAGCTAACGCCTCCCACGTTTGCTCCTCCCAGGAAGCTGCTCAAGTCCACGCTGGTGCTGATGCCGCTTTTTGGAGTCCACTACGTGGTGTTCATGGCCATGCCCTACACCGAGGTCTCCGGGGTCCTGTGGCAGATCCAGATGCACTACGAGATGCTCTTTAACTCCTCTCAGGTGCGTGGCCCTCTCCAAGCCCCCCCCGGTGCTGCTCCTCCAGGGAGAACATCCCAGCTCAAGGCCTCAAACTCCACCTCTTTGGGTCTCTTGGCAGGGTTTCTTCGTGGCTTTCATCTACTGCTTTTGCAACGGGGAGGTGAGTGAGAAGTGCGGGCAGCTGAGCTCCCTCTTTCAACCCCTGCAGGGCTGGGGATGTTCACACGTAGCCCCGGGATGGGATAACCACCAAAAAACTGGATCCGTCCCTCTCAGTAGGAGTTGGAGGGAAGGGGAAGGGGAAGAGGAAGGAGAAGGGGAAAGGCTGTTTCGCTGTGTCTGGGCACAGCAGCCCTCTCCCCTCTCTCCCTCAGGTGCAGGCAGAGATCAAGAAAGCCCATTTTCGGAGGCTCCTGGCGCTGGACGTGGGGCAGAAGGGCCGTGCCGGGCGCTGCTGCTGCTCCAGGCCGATCCCCCACGGCCCCCCGAGCTGCAGCTCCAGCCTGGCGGGGCAGGGGCTGGGGGGGAACCGGCGGGGGCTGCTGCTCCCGGCCCGCCCCAGCCTGCCGGGATTCATCCCCAGCTCGGGATACACCCCCGGCTCCTGCCCCTCCCATCACCTCCCGCACTGCCCCACCCAGGAGATGAGCCAGAAAACCCGGGGGGAAAACACGGTGGATCTGACGGACCTGACTCAGTGCCACCCAAACCTCACCAAGGAGCTGGAGACGATGCTGTGAAGGGGACGGGGGTGACCCCAAGCGCCTTTCCCAGCTGTGCCTGGAGAGATGAAGATGCTGATCCTCACGCTTCGGGCTCCTTCTTGCATGGAGAGCCAGGGTAGGGAGAGCAGCTGGAACATCCCAGCTCTTTCTCCCTCGCAGCCAAGGGACCTCGTGCTCTCACTCCTCCCTTCCTACCTGGCTCCCAAAAACGAGCCATAAACCCCTCCTTTCCCTCCACTGATGCGATGTCTGTGCGTGCAAAGTCTGAGTCTTCAGCAGGAAACACCCCTGCTCCCTCTCCTGGGTGTGGAAAGCCCAAATTCCATGAGCCCACAGTCCTGCCTCTGGAGCACCAGCCCCGGTGTTTTCCAGCCTGGGAGAGCACAGAGTGCAGCCCAGCCTGTGGATGGGGAGAACAGGGAGCAGGAATCACTGGGATAAGGTGGGCTGAGGGAGGCAGGACAGGTTTCATGGCCTGGAAGGGTGCAGGAAATGCCTGGATCCCCTTCACACTTCATCCATGAACTCATCACAGGCCCCTGCATGCAAGAGTTGTGGCCCTGTCACCTCCCTGCAGGCTAAAAATGAATAAAGAGAGTCTGTCTGGCTTGTTCCCATCCTTGTGTTCCATCATGGACTCGGCAACAGATGAATTAAACACATTTATGGGTTTATACCATGGGTGGGAAGAGACCTCAAAGCCCATCTTGTTCCAACCCAAATCACAGGATCCCAGAATTGTTTGGGTTGGATGGGACCCTGCAGATCCTCCATTCCTACCCCCTGCCACAGGCAGAGACACCTTCCACCAGCCCAGGTTGCTCCAAGCCCCATCCAACCTGGCTTTGGACACTTCCAGGGCTTCCCCACCCTCCCAGGGGGACAAGAGGCAGAGAGGGGACTGATGTGTGGGCACAGAGCCCCAGGATGGCATTTACAAGGGATTTGCTCAGCTGGGTGCGTGCCCTGGTCTCTCTGGAAGACACCAGCAGAGCTGCCACTGCAAGGAGAAAATTCCCTCTGGAATGCTGCTCACACTGCTCCCTTGTTCTGTGGGGATGGGATCAACCCTCCTGTGGATCTAACACAGCCCTGAGAGCTGACACTGGTAGCTCTCTGTCACTGCTCACTATTTACTCACTCGACTCCCAGGAGCCTCCTGGCAGCTGAGAGAGGGGTGAGGAATTTCAGCAATCCTACAAAGAGCAGAGGGAAGTGTTAAAAAGAAGGGGAGAAGCCCAAGCATAGCCCCCCCGTCCCCAGGACCAGTTCCCAGTGGCAGGGAGCTGGGAAGGGAGGGAGCAGATGGCACCTTCAGACTACGCAGCTATTTTTAAATTTTGTTTTGAGGGGGCCCAAATCATCACTTGGGGTCAGTTCCCATGAAAATCAGATCTTTCCAGGTCTTGCCAGAGACCCCATGAAGAGCTGGGATGAGTCCCCATGTCCTGGGCTGTTATCCCTCCCTCTCATAAAGGGGAGAAAAAAATCTATTTCCCCTGGAAGCTTTGGAGCCAAAACAGGGCTTGTGAAACAATTTGGGGTGAAAGATACTGAGAAAACCCACAGGAAGTCTTTTATCAGCTACAACCCACAACTCCTGGTGGAAGAGAGACACACACAGAGTCAAATCCCCAGGCAGTCAAATTCCCAGTTCTCCATCCACAAGCCAGAGCAGCCAGAGGAGGTGGAGGATAAAAAGCACATGCTTTTTGTATTTTTGTACCAGTAATAAAACATTTACTAGAGCAAGCAGAAAGTAAATGCACAGCTGATAAAGAAAACATCACAATGTCACAAAACCCCTGACAGCTTCTGATACTTCTTCCAAGTGGAAACGAGCCAGCAGTGGGTGCTGACAACGTTCCAAACAGAAAAGTTCTTCCCTACCTCGTGGCAAAAAAAAAAACCAAACAAACAAAAAACCCCCCCAAAAAACAAACAACAAAACCAAAAACAACCAAGTTAAAAAACGGAGAATAATACACACAACGAGTTAAAAATGGGCAAGCAAGATTTGACAGATTTCCTACACGTGTTCAACGTGGGGCCAGATCTGAGCTGGTTCATTTCATTCATTGCTTTTTTGGGCTCTCCCCAAAGGCTTCTGAGCAGCAGATCCCTGAATTTCTGAGTGAAGCCTCTGCCTTCAGCAACACTTCCTGGGGGGCTCCAGCCTCTGATTGTTGGGGGGTGTGTACATTGTTTTCCCTTTTTTTTTTTCTGCTTTTAATCTGAAGAAAGCACTCAGCCCTCTCAGAACAGAGGGTGCATAGGCACAGCAGAGGGACAGGTTTGCTATGCAGGCTTCCAGCAGAATGAAGGATATCAGGGAAGAAGAGGCTGTTTGAAAGATAAAAAAAATAGCTGGGCAATGGGAGTGGGACTGATGTACTGACCACAAACAAGCCAGGGAGTCCAACCTACACTGCAGGTGAATTTGTGGTTTGCTGGGTTGGAGAAGGATCCCTTGAACAGCTTCATAAAAAATAAAACAAAGGGAAAGAAAAATTCAACTTGCTCCAATCCCACCTTCAGCAACGCAAATCGACGCGTTCTTAGTTGATGGGGAGAGGGAGAAAGGGCACCCAGGAGGCCAAATTGTTTGGGAATCAGAGCAAATGTGAAGAGGAGATGGGGGAAGAACTCACCATACTGACCAAACTGCCGAGGGATTAATGTCTAACAGGCAGGTCCTGAGCATCTCTAGGTGGACTGCACTGGTTTGTAAATGCGAACGCTGGTTAAGAGAAGACTGATTTATACTTGTATGCACAGCAGTTTCTCGACGTTCCCAGGGGCTGAAACAGCTTCCTTTGGTCGAGAAGATCTGTTGGAATCCAGCAGAGTCACTGGAGCACTGACTGTCTGAAGCAGAACCCAGGGAGCTTTGCCAAAACGACTTCTCTGACTGCGCGTCGTGTGTGCACGTCACGAGTGGGTCTGTCCGCAGATGAACCGGCCCGGGGTGTGGGTGAACCTCACGGTTTCCTCCTCCTCCCCCAGCTGCTCAACAATCAGTTCCCAAAAAAAAAAAAAAAAAAACCCAAACAAAAACCCCTAAGAAATCCTCTGGGAAAAGACAACACTACCTGCCGAGATTCCAGGCTGTGAAACCGCAGCTTTTAACTGTCCCACCGGCTCTTCTTGCGTTTGGGGGGCTCCGGCACCGCGAAACCGTCTGTCTTGCTGTCCCGGCTGTTGGCGTCCTTCCTGCTCTCGCCATTCCTGCCCTCGCTGCTGTTCCTGCTGTCCCCGTTGTTGCGGCCTCCCGGGAAGTCGCTGAAGTGCCGGCCGCCCTCTCCGTGGCGATGGATGACGTCGCCGTGCCGGCCGCCCTCGCCGTGCCGGGGAGCGTCGCCCCCGTGCCGGCCACCGCCCTCGCCGTGGCGCTGGACGTCGTTGTAGCGGCCGCCACCGCCCTCGGCACGGCCACCACCGCCCTCGGCACGGCCACCACCGCCACCACCACCGCCTTCCCCGCGCCGCGGGCCCTCGTTGTGGCGACTGTTCCGGTTGTCGTTGTACCGTTCTCTGGCGACGCCGCCACCGATTCCGCCTTCCCGGCTGTTGGCGCTGGCACTCGCGCTGTTGTTGAAGCCCTGAGCTCCACTGGGGAAGGTGGGCACGCTGCTCAAGGTCCCCGTGCTGGTGAAGCCCGGGACGCCCTTGGTGGCCGCCGCGGCGGGGCCGTCGGGGGTGGGCGCGTTCTGCTGCGCCGAGCCGGTGGGGACGGAGTTGAGGCTCCCGGCGCTGGTCCAGCCGCTGGCACCGGCGGCAGAGCTCCCGGTCTTTTGGTTGTTCAGACTGGCAGCCACGAAGTGGCTCTTGTACTGGGACTGCAGGACAGGGGAGGGAGAGGAAAGAGAGCAGGTTTGCCTTTGTGCTGCACTGCAGAGTGGGGAGCGGTCGCGGGTTCATGGGCCTGGCTTGGGTGGTGGGGATCCCCCAGGAAACACAGTTCCTGGAAAAATCCTGGAGTGATTACAATCCTGCTGTGCTTATGAATATAGAATTAGTAATGGGCATCTGCTACCACACCACAGAAAGAAGGGAGCTAATTTAAAGAAGTGTTAATCTTCACACGGAAGAGAAGGAGTTTCTCTGTCCCCCCTTTCTTTGACTGCACTTACACTATTGCTGCTAAGCAACCTCAGCAAGAGCAAGCCAAGCAGCAGAACCCAGGAGGGAAAAAGAGCAAAGAGGCAGCAGAAAACAAAGCAAGTTTGGCAAATCTGTGCAAGTTTGTTCAGTCCAGCCTGCTCACCATCCCACCATTCTCACTGCAACGCTCCAAGTGACACGGTCACAACCTGCCAAGCTCAACTGCCCTGAAATCCCTACTGCGTTTTCAGGGGAGAAAACGAGCCCAAGGGATGGAACCAACCTGGAAAGCTGCTTTCATTGCTGTCAGCCTGTCCCCCATGGCCCCCGTGGATGGCTTGTAGGCCTCGTAGTTACTCATCACGCTGTTGTTGTTTCCACGGTCCTGTGGGAAACAGAGGGAAAGTGCAGAGGTTTATCCCACACAAGACACTCAATCCAAATCTACCTTGACCCTGCACCCAGGGAATTCATCCACTAAGGATGAGAGAATTCTGGGAGGCCTGACAGCAGGACCATGACCTCGAGGACCACAAAGTGAGGGAGCCCTGAGTCTTAAGAGACTCACAGGTAACAGTGGAACTGCAGTTTCCAGCCCCTACAGCCCAACTAAAAGTAAAATGGAATCAAATGGGAGGTTTTCATCCAGGTCCCAGCCAGGACAAAGTGTGAACGAGGCTCCAGCTGTGGCTTTTGGGGAGATGCTGGACATGGAAGTGTCCAAGGCCACGCTGGATGGAACCCTGAGCAACCCAGCCCAGTGGAAGGTGTCCCTGCCCATGGCAGGGGTGGGACTGGATGAGCTTGAAGGTCCCTTCCCACCCAAGCCATTGTGGGATTCTGTGCCATGTTTTCAACAGCTCTGCCCCTGCACACACTGGCAATGAGCTCGTTTCCTGGCACAGATGTGCCTTAATGAGCATCCCCAGTGCTGCAAGATTTTTTTCCTGCCAAGAATCAGCCTGGAAATGGCTTTTCAAGTCATTTATTAGCATTTCTTTTGCAGCAACAGCCTATTTTGGGAAGAACCTCCAAACCTTGTGGATTCACTCTGGCCCTAAGGAGGGCAGCTCTTGGCAAGGG